ATTGTTTACATGTTAGTAACTTACATGTTCGGCTGTTTCTAACTACTTTCCTCCCTTCTCTCCATCTCTCTATATGCACTGAAGGTATTCTGGCAGAGGAGGAGCCTGTTCCGTGTGCGGGTCAGGCCATGGGCACCAGTGCATGATGAATGGGATGTGTGTAGAGAGGGATGGCACGGCCCAATGGTGGCATCACCAACTTTGACAACTTCCTGTTTGCCATGCTCACTGTTTTCCAGTGTATCACCATGGAGGGCTGGACTGATGTTCTGTACTGGGTGAGGCTGCTTTATGAACGACACCCAGCTAGCAAACTAGCAAGCTTCTCTACTCACAGTACACAGAGGTTTCAACAGGGTTAGCTTAGCTTCATCGCTAACACTGGATGAGCTCCACTAAAATCTCATTTGTAGAACCTTTATAAAATGTCAGAAATAATGTACACAAACATACTCCCCCTCCCCTCTACGAACTCCCACCTATCTCTCCCTCTCTCCTTAACCTGTGTCTGAACCCTACCTCTCTGTCCAATTCTCCCTCCCTTTCTCTTCTCTGCTTTTCTCCCTCTCTCTTCTTAACTTGTCCTCACCCCTGCGTCTCTACTCCATCACTCCCTCCTTTTCTCTCTCTGCCGAATGACTCTCCCTCCCTCTCTATCGGTACTGTCCTCTCTTCTTCTCGTTCATGTATCAGTTACCATGGCGATGTCATGCTAATGAAGCCATGAATGGGGTGAAGGTGACATTGGGAGTGGAGGAGAGATGCAGCCACTCGACAGACATGAAAGGGATTGAGTGAGAACTGAACACAGAGGAGGAATGGGGAGATGAGATTGGCAGTTATCCACCTCCTTTTCAAAGGTTTTTAAATCACGGAAGCAAGCGAAATACGGAAACTATGGATACAACTTCCCCCGCACTATGCATTATCATAATTCATATGTGCGCCACTAGAAACCCAGTCAATAGCATATTTCTGCATTATTTTGTAACGAAATCAACAACTGCAATAATACTACTAATACAAGTTGCAAGCTAAGACTGGGATGGATCCCCAAAGTATAAGGTGGGAGTATTCCCAAAATCTATTATGAGAGGAGACGGAAAAACAGTACCTGACCCAGCGGGTCTCACCACTGGCTAGGATACTGATATGAAACCCTTGTGGCCGTCCATAAAGTGAGCCAAATATGCACATATATCATTGATTCTCTTGCGGTTGATGGTCAGGCTATGGAAAATCTTAAAAGCTCAGAAGCCTACCAGTATGTAAAGAGCAATAAAGTTGGACCGTTCTGGCGAAGTTCGTCGGAGACGAAGATAAGTGGATCTTACTCAAAGCCAATGTCGAGCCGAGCCAGCGACTGAGGAGCCAACCCCACCAAGCATGGGTGGTATCTAGCATGGAGGAGAAGTACTGACTGCTGGTTTCACCTGCATCGCTGTTTAGGGGAAAATCTGTTGCCACGCCACCCGATATGTGGAAGGTGAGATTAATACGACACTAGCTAGTTAGCTACCACTATCTATTTCCCCTGTTCCTGTAATTGGGATGCAGGACACACTTTTCACTTGTTTACTTCCAAATGCATCTGAACTACACCTACGGGAAGTCTTGTGGGACCATCGCACATTTCTTCAGCCTCCTGAGGTTGAAGGGGTGCTGTGCGCTTCTTCACCACAATGTCTGTGTGGGTGGACCATTTCAGATGTCAGTGATGTGTACTCCGAGGAACTTGAAGCTTTTCACTTCTCCACTGCGGTCCCATCGATGTGGATAGGGCCGTGCTCCCTCTGCTGTTTCCCGAAGTCCACGATCAGCTCCTTCATTTTGTTGACAGTGAGGAGAGGTTATTTTCCTGGCAACACTCCGCCAGGGCCCTACCACCTTCCGGTTGGCTGTCTCGTCATTGTTGGAAATCAGGCCTACTATTGTTGTTTGTCTGCAAAACTTGATGATTTGAGTTGGAGGTGTGCTTGGCCACGTAGTCATGGGTGAACAGGGAGTACAGGAGGGGGCTGAGCACGCACCCTTGTGGGGTCCCTGTGTTGAGGATCAGCGAAGTGAGGTGTTGTTTCCTACCTTCACCACCTGGGGGCGGCCTGTCAGGAAGTCCAGACCCAGTTGCACAGGGCGGGGTTCAGACCCAGGGTTCCGAGCTTAATGATGAACTTGGAGGGTACCATGGTGTTGAAGGCTGCGCTATAGTCAATGAACAGCATTCTTACATAGGTATTCCTCTTGTCCAGATGGGATAGGGCAGTGTGCAGTGCGATGGCGATTGCATCGTCTGTGGATCTATTGGGGCATTATGCAAATTGGATTGGGTCTAGGGTGTCAGGTAAGGTAGAGGTGATATGCATCTTAACTAGCCTCTCAAAGCACTTCATGAGGACAGAAGTGAGTGCTACAGAGCGATAGTAATTTAGTTCAGTTACCTTTGCTTTCTTGGGTATAGGAACGATGGTGGACAGCTTGAAACAAGTGGGGACAGCAGACTGGGATAGGGAGAGTTGGAGAGGGTTTATCTAATGTTCTGTGTTAGATTTTTGCTCATCTCGCTCTGGCTAACATTAGTTGTTGATCTTGTTGTTGTTCATGTGCATAACTGAGGGAGAGAGAGCCTACCTTTTCATGGTTGTTTTATCAATAGGACTGTAAAGTTCCCAAATGTAAGAGGACTCCCGTGGTGTTACATATCTGCAGAAAACCATTCAGGTGTATTTTGTGGCTTTTGGCGAATGCGTTCTAATGATCTAAAGTCGTGCTGTTGCACCTGCCTGTAAACACACAGTCCAGTTCAAAGTGAATGATGGCAGGCCCATGTTGCTCTGATTGGCTATAACTCACCAGTATGTGTAGACTCCGGTCCTGGACAAGACAGATGTTTTTATTCGGTTTTATTTACTGCAGTGTCTATTAATTGTCCAAATGCATGGCCGCTCTACTCTAAATTGCTTTAGAATTTTCAAAAATGCCTTAGTATATGTAATTCGCAAAACATCCTAAGAATTTATGAAAACGTGAAAATAAATATATCTAAGTGGTCGCTTGTCAGATTTGTTTTTTGTAAGTGTTGAATTCATCCTGGGGGTGTATATGAACAGATTTTTTAATAGATTTCATGTTGCTTAAATGCTGTCAGTTCCACTTTAAATGCAACAAGTTTCACACACTAGCTATTTTCAAAGAGATGGCTAACAACAGCAAGCGCACTGCAATAAAAAAACACAGTTCCACTCACCAGATGATGATCATTTGAAAACTTACATTCTTGTTGAAAGTTATTCTTGAAAAAGGAAGAGAAGCTAACAAATTAGCAACAACATCCTCTTTGATAACACCTGCTGAAGCCGCTGCAAACTAGCCGACAACAAAAGCTAGCATAGCTAGACTGTGGGAAAACTACTGCTCGCTATTGCACAATGACCTGTTGGCCTTCAAGAAGGCATAAGTTTCCAGACGTTTTTGTAAAAAACGGTCCCACTCATTAAGTCAAAATGTGATTGGTTAATTCCACTGTCACTCCAAAATGTTCCCAATACAGTTGAATGGCAGATGCCTTTATCTAGCTTCTGATGGCCTAGCCAATGGCTGACTTAGCTAGCTAGATTTATCTCCCAGGACAGAATGAAGAATCTGATAGGTTTAAAATCTCTTCAGTGTTAACCCTTTCCCTTCTAACAAAAAACTGAAGAGATTTAAATCAGAACATCATTGAAAATAATAATATAATTAGAATTATAATAATAATAATAATATTATTATTATAATATTCTCTGAAGGTGTAGAAGGCCCATTGTTCCACACTGTGTTGGGTTAGTAATAATTTGGAGAGTGGCTCTATTTTTCCTCAGCATGCATTTTTTCACTATTCTGAATGTCTAAAGAATCATATATCTGAAATATGAACACAGAAATACTGGACATTTTGAAATCTTATTATGGTGGTGATTTGACAAAATTACAATCATGGTATTGAATTGCATTTTTCTGGTCTCGGTCTTGACTCTGTCTCGGAACCCTGGTCCCTCTCCTGGTCCGGTCTTGACTCGGTCTCACCCCCCTCCGGTCTTGGTCTTGAATCGGTCTCGCTTTAGGTGGTCTTGAGCACAACAATGCTGTGCGCACCACCACCAATTCCGCAAAATTCATCCACGGACACTGTATCCCTCCATTCCGGGGAAACATGGCCACCAAACATGGAAAGGAGATGAAGATCCATGGCATACCGGGTTTTGTGCAGGCTCAGGGGTTTGAGGTGGTTCACAAAGGTCTGGTGGTGTGCCCAGAGGAGCCATGGCTGTGCAGCCAGTTCAGAACGGCATTGTAGACGACAGAGCTGTCTGGAAATAAAGTGTACCAGTGACCAACTCACTTGTCCAATCCCTACAGGAGAGAAGAGAAGATGTCGTTGTGAGATAGGAGGGGGGGATTTGTGATGCAGTCCAATGGGCCAAGGTGGTACTACTTACAAGTTTAGTTGTGGATGTACTGCACCAAAACCAGTTTGTCATGTGGACCCCATCAGAACAGATAATACTTGACATACCGTTTGACAACAAATTCACACAGCAGCAAGTAGAATGACTCTGAATGTTCTACTTTGGACATACGCTGCCTTCTTTGGTAGATTAGTTTTCTCAGGGCAGACTGCAGCTATGCCAGAAATATCTGGACATTCTCAAGAGCTAGATGCCATAGATGTGTGATGGGGTAAAATGACACAATCTGCTTTGAAAGTTGTTAATCACGGAAATCTCCTTCCATTGTTTGATTTAATTCTCTCTTCAATCCGCCTGATAAACACCACAGTTATTTATCATGTTTATGCCATAATATAATATGTGTGTCTGCATCAAAAGCCTGCACCCTCACTAGTCTTGGAGAGAGAGAGTCACTTCAAAGAGGATGCCAGGGTTAACTGTAGTTACGGTAGAATCGTTTCCATCGACAAACCTAATAGATACGTTCGTTTCTATGGCAGACTGTAATCTGTACTTCTAATAGGGGCTAAATGTGATGATTGATATACAGGGACTTATGGATTGTCCTCTAAACTGTGGACTGTCAATGTTGTTGTTGTTTCAGATGAATGATGCCATGGGTTCTGAGCTGCCCTGGGTCTACTTCGTCAGTCTGGTCATCTTCGGCTCCTTCTTTGTTCTCAACCTGGTTCTGGGAGTGTTAAGCGGGTAAGATATTGAGAGTTGCTAACACATGCACATATGCACACACACGTAGGCATGCATGCACAGCCACACGCCTGCACATACAGTTGAAGTTGGACGTTTAAATACACTTAGGTTGGAGTCATTAAAACTCATTTTTCAACCACTCCACAAATTTCTTGTTAACAAACTATAGTTTAGGCAAGTTGGTTAGGACATCTACTTTGTGCATGACACAAGTAATTTTTCCAACAATTGTTTACAGACAGATTATTTCACTATAATCCTGTATCACAATTCCAGTGGATCAGAAGTTACATACACTAAGTTGACTGTGCCTTTAAACAGCTTGGAAAATATCAGAAATGATGTCATGGCTTTAGAAGCTTCTGATAGGCTAATTGACATCATTTGAGTCAATTGGAGGTGTACCGGTGGATGTATTTCAAGGCCTACCTTCAAACTCAGTGCCTCTTTGCTTAACATCATGGGAAAATCAAAAGAAATCAGCCAAGACCTCAGAAAAAAAGAAGAAATTGTAGACCTCACAAGTCTGGGTTCATCCTTGGGAGCAATTTCCAAACGCCCGAAGGTACCACGTCATCTGTACAAACATAGTACGCAGTATAAACACCATGGGACCAGACAGCCGTCATACCCTCAGGAAGAAGCGCGTTCTTCCTAGAGAGAACATACTTGGGTGCGAAAAGTGCAAAACAATCCACAACAACGCAAAGGACCTTTGAAGATGCTGGAGGAAAAGGTACAAAAGTATCTTATCCACAGTAAAACGAGTCCTATATCGACATTTAAAAATGAAAGGCGCTCAGCAAGGAAGAAGCCACTGCTCCAAAACCGCCATAAAAAAAATGACCCCAAGCATACTTCCAAAGTTGTGGCAAAATGGCTTAAGGACAACAAAGTCAAAGGGATTGGAGTGGCCATCACAAAGCCCTGACCTCAAACCTATAGAACATTGTGGGAGGAACTGAAAAAGCTGTGCGAGCAAAGGGGGCCTACAACCTGACTCAGTTACACCAGCTCTGTCAGGAGGAATGGGCCAAAAATTTACCTAACTTATTGTGGGAAACTTGTGGAAGGCTACCCGAAACGTTTGACCCAAGTTTAAACAATTTAAAGGCAAAAGCTCCCAAATACTAAATTTAGTGTATGTTTAAAATTCTGACCCACTGGGAATGTGATGAAAGAAATAAAGTGAAATAAATCATTTCTCTACTATTATTCTGAAAATTTAAAATTCTTAAAATAAAGTGGTGATCCTAACTGACCTAAGACAGGGATTTTTTATAGGGTTAAATGTCAGGAATGTGAAAAAAGAGTTTAAATGTATTTGGCTAAGGTTATGTAAATTCCCGACTTCAACGTATGTACACACCCACACACACTGAGGAAAAAATGTCTAATGTGGGTGTGTCCGTCCACAGAGAGTTCTCCAAGGAGAGAGAGAAGGCCAAGGCTCGTGGAGACTTCCAGAAATGAGAGAGAAGCAGCAGTGGAGGAGGATCTGAAGGGCTACCTGGAAATGGATCACTCAGGCCGAGGACATCGACCCTGAATGATGAGGAGGGGGACGAGGAGGGGGGCAAACGCAACCGTGAGTCCTTCACCTCACCACCCCCTTCACATAACATTCCCCCTTCTCCTCTACCTGTTAGGAGCACCTGTGGTTCAGAGACAGGGACAGAGTTCTAGGTTTTTTAAACACACATGGCTCTGACAAGGGTTTTCCTCTTACGTAAAATGAGGTGAGGAACACAGTGCTAATCTTCCTATTCAAGGTGGAGCCCAGAAAGAGAAGAGTTTAGTTTTAAATGGTTGGTGTGGTGAATGTATTATACGACAAATGAATGCATGTCCAGCATTGTCATTCTGCTGCTGAGGTCTTGTTCCATGCTCTTGCTTTTTTTTGTTCCTTTTGGTTATCATCTAAAGCCCTATTTGGACGGATAAGTTTTACTGGGGGAGCTCAGGGAATGTAATTTGTGCACAAGCCAAATCACCACGTCCGTTCATTTTGTCCCGTACGAATCTGCCATGTCAGTCATTTTTACTTGGCAGGAAGGTTATTATCCCAGCCCTAAAAAACCCCTTTTTCCCCAAATTTAACCCGGGGCAAATCTTTCACCCGGGGTTTTTTGAGGGATTTTAAAAGGGTTTTAACGGGGTGTTTGGCCCCCAGTTTGGGAAGAACTTTAGAAAAAAAATTGATGTTTTTAAAACCCCCAAAAAGTGTTATGCAGTGCCACAGATGAATGATCTTTTTTGTCAATATCAATTACTGTGAAATACTTTTTTTTAAAAAGTTAAAGGGGATTTTTGCCAATTTTTGTTAAAGGGGCGAAATTTTTTGGGGAATTAAATGGTCTGCAAGGTTTCAGTTTGGGGGGTTTTTCAAAAAAGGGGGTTGCATATTTAATTTTACCTTTCCCCTGAAAAAGGGCCCCTTTAGGCCCAATATTGGGAACCCCTGTAAAGAAGGGAGGTGAAAATTCGGGGCGAAGTCAACCCCCGGGACCCCGGCTTTTTTGGAAACGTATTTTACCCCCGAAATTTTAAAAAGAAAAAGAAAAACAAAATTCCCCAAAAATTGGAGGAAATAAACACCCGCCCACGACATTTGCCGATGACAAAATTCCCAATAAAACAAACACAATGCCCCGCCCCAGGGTTTAAATGGGGAAAAACAAAAACAAGCTAAGGGGAAAGGGGTACACAATCAGGAAAAAACAAGCAAACACCAAAAACATGGACCCGGGGGAAAGCTATACCCGGGGGAAAGACGAACCCCCGAAGCTGCCGAGCAAAGGAGGAGGGGGGCAGCCCTCGGGATTCCGCCCCCAGTACCCCCCACCGGCCCCCGGGGCCCCGGCCCGGGGGAGGAGGGGGCCGGGAGAAGGGGATTTGGGGTTTTGACTCGGTGGAAGTCCCTCAACATGGGGGGAAATTCTAGAAGCCCTCCCGGGGGGCCCCAGCCCCGTTCCTCCGGACTTACCCCTCCCACTCCCGAGAAAATGGGCCCCCCGTCCGACGCCTCAAACCCCAAGATGGAAACGGACTGGTACGCGGACCCCTCGGGGTCCAAGGGGGGCGGGGGAAAGGACCTTCTTTTACCCCACTCTCCGGGGAAAGGGGCCAGCCAAAGGCCTGAGGAGGGGACACAGGGAAAACGGGGGGTTTAATGCGATAAAAATGGGCAGTTGAAAACTAAAAATCCCTTTGTTCAATCTTCAGGCCTTTAAAGGGCCCCCCCCAAACCGCCAAACCCAGTTCACGGGGGGCGGGAAAAAGGGGGCCCAGGTTTGGGTCGAGACCGCCCCGGTTTCCCTGGGGCATACACCGGGGGCCCCCAGCGGTGGCGATCGGCGTCGCCTTTTGCCCCCCGGGATGGCACGCTGCCGGCGGTTAAAAATTTTCCCCCGAGCGCCGAAAACCATTGTCCCCCGCAGGGGTTCGGTTGGCTCTGTTTGCCAAGGTCCAAAACCGGTAAAAAACCTAACCCCACCTGGAAAGGGAAAGGTTAGTGGACAAATGGCGGAGGATTTTTGGGGGCTATCTCTGCCCAGGGAATATCCCCCGGGCCCACCTTGCCGGGCCCGGAAATTTAGACCTCAAAAAACCCAAACCCCTTTCCGGGTTAACTTTCCACCTGCCCATTACTTTGGGGGTTTGAAAACTGAGGTAAGGTAATCGAGCCCCCCAGACTTTCCAAAAAAGCCCCCAAGACTTAGGGTAAATGGGGACCCGATCAGACACAATCCTCGGGGCACCCATGGGCCCGGACGGGGATTTTGTAAAACGGGGGCCTCACCCGTTTGTGGGCCCAGTGGGAGATTTGGCAGGGGAATGAGACGGCAGGTTTGGGGAAAACCGACCAAAGACCAAGAGTGGGTTTTCCCCGGGGAGGGGGGAAGGTCGGTAAAAAACCCCCCGAAGGTGAGCCCCCGGGCCCTTTGGGGAAACGGGAGGGGTTTTAACCCCCCCGGGGGGTTTTGGGGCCCTACATGGGCGAAGAGCGGGGGGGGAAACAAAACCCCTCAGTCTAGCAAGGGGCCCACCAGCCCCTCTCAAAAAGCATTCCCTTTTTTTTTTTCCCCGACCAAAAAAGGATGAAGAGGAAAGGGGTGACGGGGGGGCCCCAGTATACCAAATTTGGTCGGCCGGGCCCCCGGCGGAAGAAACCCCCGCCCCTTGGGGAAAATGGGAGGGTGGGTGGGAAAGGAAGCCCCTCTTTTCCCGAATCCCCCCCTTTGCCACAAAAATTGGGGATTTTGGGGAGTGGTCAATAACCTTTTTCTGTGCAAACGGGGGGGGCCTTTTTTTGGCCCTTGGCTTTTTCTGGGGCCCTTTTTGGTATTAGTTGGCAAAATACAAAGCCGGGAAAGAAACTTTGCCACCCGGGAGGAACCCCTGGGGTTGCCCCCGGGAAATTGTATCCCAATTAAAACATTTAAGGGGCAGAATGGAGAAAAAGGGGGGTTTTGGAAACCCCAACCCAAGTTTTCCCCACACCCAGAAAACCCCCCCGACCCACCCCCCCGGGGCCAAGCCCCACCCCCCCCCTAAATAAAGGGGTCCCGGAGGGCCCCCCCCTTAAAGAAGGAAAGCACAGGGGAAAAGGTTTAGGTTTGGAAACCCCCGGCCCGCTTTAACCCCCAGCCCCAACCCGACCCCCCGGCCTGGGGAAGGGCAATCCACACCCCCCTTTAAGGGGGGCCAAAAAGGGGACCGGATGCGCCAGAAAAACCCCGGGGAAGGAAAACCAAGGCCCCTCCCCCTTTTTTCCGGGGGGGAGCTGCCAAATTGCAGGCGCCCCCGGGACCCCCCTTTCAAATAATCTCCCCCTGCCAAAAGCCCCGGTAAGGTGGAATTGGCAAAAAAAAGCTTTTCCCCCCTTTCCGTTGGGGTCTGCCAAACGCCCCAAAAACCCCAACCCCAACACCCCACCAAAAGGGACCCCAAATGGGGCCCCGGGCAAAAAGGACTCCCCCCATTCGGGTGGTAACCCGTTCCAAAGCACTGCCCCCACCAATCCCCCCCTATTAAAAAACAAACCACCCCCTGCCCATGCAAGCCCCGGAAAAAATTTCTTTCCCACAAATGATTGGAAGATGAAGGGTTTTCTTTAAACCCTTTATGGCATGACGAGGTACCCCATGGACCCGAGGGGGTTTAAGGGAAGGGCTGTCCCCCAACTCATCTCCCCCCTAATGCGCCCCGGGTTTTGACGCGCCCCCCAATTTTTAAAACCCCCCCCCCCCCAAAAAAAAAAAAAAAGGGGGGGTTTTTTTATGGTGATCTGATTTAGGCCCCCGGAAAAAAGGGGGGAAAAAAAAACCTTTTTTAAAAAAAAAAAAAAAGGGGGGGGGGGGTTTAAAACCCCCCAAAATTTAAAAATGGGGTTCCCCCCAAAAGGGGGGTTTTTTTTCCCCCCCCCAAAAAAAAAACCCCCGGGTTAAGGGGTTTCCCCCCCCCCCGGGGGGGGTTTTTCAAAAAAGGGGCCCCCCCCCCTTTTTCCCCCCCCCCCCCCGGGGCCCCCCCCCCCCCTTTTTTAACCCCGGGGGGCCCCCCAAAAATTTGGGGGGGGAAAACCCGGGGGGGCCCCCCCCCCAAAAAAATTTCCCCCAAAAAAACCTTACCCCCCCAAAAAAACCCCCCCCCCAAAAAACCCGGGGGCCCCCCCCCCCCCCCGGGGGGGGGGTTAAAAAAGGGGGGCCCCCCCCCCCGGGGAAAAAAAAAATTTAAAAAAAATTTTTTCCCCCCTGGTTTTTCCGGGGGAGGGGGGAAAAAAAAAAAAAAAAAACCCCCCCCCTTAAAAGGGGGGGGGGGGGGTTTTTCCCCCAAAAAATTTTTGGCCCCCCCCCCAAAACCCCCCCCCCAAAAAAAAGGGGGGCCCAATTTGGGGGGGCCCCCCCGGGGGGGGGGAAAAAAAACCCCCCCCGGGGGGAAAAAGGGGGGGGGGGTTTGGGGCCCCCAAAAATTCCCCCGGGGGGGGAAAAACCCGGGCCCCCCAAAAAAAGGGGGGGTTTTTTTCCCCCCCCCCCGGGCCCCCAGGGGCCCTTTGGGGGAAACCCCCCCCCCCCCCAAAGGGGGGGAAAAAAGGGGGGGGGGGGGGGGGCCCCCCCCGGGGGGGGGGGGGCCCCCCCCCCCCCGGGGGGGAAAAAAAGGGGGGGGGAATCCCCCGGGGGCCCCCCCCCCAACCCCCCCGGCGGGCCCCTTTTCCCGGGGAAAAAGGGGGTTTGGGGGGCCCCCCCAACCCGGGGAAGGTTTAAAAGGGGGGGGGCCCAAAAGGGGGGGAAAAAGGGGCCCCCCCCAAAACCCCCCAAAAAAACCCCCCCCCCGGGGGGGGGGGGGGGGTGGGTTTTAAGGGGGGGCCCCCCCCCTTCCCCCAAAAAACCAAACCCCCTTTTTGGGGGGGGGGGGCCCGGCCCGGGGGGGGGAAAATCCCCGGGTAATTTGGGCCCCCCCCCATTTTTGGGGTTTTTTTTTCCCGGGGGGGCAGGAAAGGGGGCGGCCCCCCCCAAAAGGGGCCCCCTTTTTTAAAAACCAAAAGGGGGAAAAAACCCCAAAAAAAAAAACCCCCCCCCCGGGGGGGGCCCAAATCCCCCCCCCCAAAAAAAAAAAAAAAAGGGGGAAAAGGGGGGGGGGGGGGGGAAACCCCCCCAAAAAATCAAGGGGGTTTTTTTTGGGGGGGGGGGCCGGGCCCGGGGGGAAAACCCAAAACCCCCCCCCGGCCCCCCCCCTAAACCCTTTTTTTCCCAGAAAATTTTTTAAAACGGTTTTGGGGAAAAAAAAAAAAAAAAAACCAAAAATTTGGGGGAAAAAAAAACCCCGGGGGAAAAACCCCCCCAAGGGCCCCCCCCCCCCCCCCCTTTTTTTTTCCCGGGGTTTTTTTAAAAAAAAAAAAAAAAAAATTTTTTTTTTTTGGGGAAAAATTTAAAAAAAGGGGCCCCTTGGGGTTTTTTTGGGGGGGGGGGGTTTAAAAAGGGGGGGGGGCCCCTTTTGGGGGGGGGGTTTTTTTTTAAAAAAAACCCCCTTTTTTTTTTTGGCCCCCAAAAAAAGGAAAGGTTTGGGGGCCCCAAAACCCGGGGGGGGGGGAAAAAAAACCCCCCCCTTTTTTTTAAAAAAAAAAGGGGGGAAAAACCAAAAAAAAAGGAAAACCCCCGGCCAAAAGGGTTTTCCCCAAAATTTTTGGGGGGGTTTTTTCCCCCCGGGGGGGGGAAAAAAAACCCCCCCCCCCCCCCCCCCAACCCCCAAAAAAAAAACCCCCCCCCTTTTTAAGGGGGGGGAAAATTTCGGGGGGGGTTTTGGGTGGGTTTTTTAAAAAAAAAGGGGGAAAGGGAAAAGGGGGGGGGGAAATTTCCTTAAGGGAAAAATTTTGGGGGGCCCCGGGGGGAGAAAAAAAACCCCCCCCAAAATTCTTTTTTTTGGGGGGGGGGAGGTTTAATTGGGGGGGGGGGCCCAGGGGATAAGGTACCGGGAAAACCCCGGGGGGAAAGGGGGCCCTTTTTTTTAAAGGGGGGGGGTTAAGGGGGAATTTAAAAAATTTTAAAAAAAAAGGGGGCCCCCAAAAAACCCCCCCCTTTTTCCCCAAAAGGGGGGGGCCTAAAGGGGCCCCGGGGCCCCCCCCCGGGGTTTTTTCCCCCCGGGGGGGGGGGGGTTTTTTTTGGGGATTTTTTGGGGGGGGGGGTTTCCCCCCGGGGGGTCCCCAAAAAAAAAAGGGGGGGGGGGGGGGAAAAAAACAAAAACCCCCCCCCGGGGGTTTAAAAATTTGGGGGGCCCCTTTTTTCCCCGGGGGGAAAGGATTTTTGGGAAAAATTTTTTGGGGGCCCCCGGGGGTTTTTTGGGGGTTTGGGGGTTTTTGGGGGGGGGTTTTTTTTTTCCCCCCTTTTTTTGGGGGGGGGGTTAAAGGGGTTTTTTCCCCCCCGGGGGGGGGGTTTTGGGGGGGGGGGCCCCCCCCCCTTTTTTTTTTTTTCCCCCCCAAAAAAAACCCCCCTTTTCTTTTTCCCCCCCTTTTTTTTTTGGGGGGGGGGGCAAAGGGGGGGAATTTTGGGGTTTTTGGGCCCCCCATCCCCTTTGATGAATTGCTGATCTGTCGTCTCAGCTATCTGGTAAGAAATATGTTTGATCTGTCGTCAGCTATAATGCCTGGTAGAAATATGTTTGATCTGTAATCAACTATAAAGCCTGGGAGATCTAGAGAGTTAGACTAATGCATGCCAGTAGCTTTGAGTGCCTCATTGGCCGTCTACTGCATACAGCACACTCACTCACACTATTGGCCTGTACATGGTAGCTACATTATGTACTGTTTCTTATTGAGTGTGCGTGGGCCATTAGTTGACCTGGTTGCAATTGTAAGCAAAATGCAGGAAATACTATGACAGTATCTTATCATGATCAGGATAACCCAAACAAACTCTTTCCTCAATAATGGTAGACCCTGAAGAAGGCACAGTGATGCCGAAACGTTGGTGGTTTTTTACCCAATAAATTACTGGGAGGTTATTCATATGGAGTGTGCGACTCTCTTTATTTTGATAGCTTACAGTTGATTCACCGTTAGTCAGCACCTCCACACAAAATAATTTTCTCTGGGTGTGCGGCAGCTCAGGCTTTTTATTAGGTTCATATTAGAACACTTCATTTCAGAAGGTGTATGTATGCATGGTCAGTAGCAGTGTAGCACATGCTTTAGTTTACACCCAGTGGAAGTTATGTTAGTCTGTGATTGTGAATGGGTTTTCTTGGCAAAGATGACACAGTTGTAGAATCCCTTGAGGCCATGAGGTGTCTGTGTGAGTCTGGAAAAAGAGAGATGAGTGTGTGGAACAACCCCCTCACTGTGTTAGACTGTTAGCTCTCTCTATGTCAGTTGTCTATGTCTGGTGTCTACCTACCGTACTGCATACATGGTTTGTTCTGCGTAGAGTTGAACTGTGTGTGGCCCAGCTGATACTAATCAATGTCCTTCTTCCTCTTCTCTCCTTTTACTCTACAACTGCTTATTCCTCTTCTTCTTCTTTCATTTTACATTGACATTTGAGTCATTTAGCAGACGCTCTTATCCAGAGCGACTTACAGTTAGTGAGTGCATACGTCTTTCCTGTCTTCTAGTTCTTGGCTTCTCTTCTCTTTCATCTCTCCTGCCTTCTTTAGTGCTTCCCTAGTCTCTTCTTAATGTGCTGAAATACTGTAGGTAGTAGATGTCTATTGTCTATTGTTCCGTCTTCTTCTCTGGTGACTCGCTGCTCCCTCTGCTGTCTGAATGTATGTACTGCATGCATTTTAAACACCAAGGGGTGACACTGGCTGACCTAATGGAGAAGAAGAAAGGGAAGTTTGGCTGGTTCAGCCAGTCAACAGAGTCACATGGTAAATTGTGCTGTGTGTGTGTGTGTGTGTGTGTGTTTTGCCCTCCCTCATTTCCTTGCTTTGCTACTGGCTTGATGTGTGCTTGTCCAATTGTTGTGTTCAATCATCTTAACTCACTCTTCATTTCACTCAATCAGCCTCTTCGTTAGATCTGTGTCCTCATTTTGTCCTGAATCTTTGATAAAGTATTACAAGCAGTGAGTGGGTGGGTTTGTGGATTAATCATCAGAAGTACATGAGACACAACCAGCAGGTTTTAGGCTTCTAGAGGTTACGAGAGGTCATATGCATGTTGTAGCGTAGAATTCTCCAGAAATGGACCAAAGGTGAATAAGGTATATATTGTCTGCAGAATATATTGACATGTTGACTATGGAAAGGGTATCCATATTTATAATGAATGAACAGAGATAGATTGCCTTATAGACATCCATAGTGTGGTAATTTCGAGTCATTCATTGTCATAATTATTTATTTTGTAAATTTTTATAAGACTTGTTTTCTTCCATTTCTGTGCATTGTGGTTTGGATTTTTCCCTTTAGATATTTTGTGGAGTATTTTTGACCCTGTACTTGAGCATATGGTTTGTACAGCATCTGCACAGATCCACTAGTATAATGTTTCAAGCCCCTTTAGAAACCACACTATTGTTATTCCATTCACATAGTAAACAACATGGATGATCTGTGCAGGTGCTGCATTGTCTACTTCTGAATCAGCCCTCTGTATTCTGACAGTCAATGATGGTCCTCAAAGAGCCCTGTACTAAATCATGAGGATATGAAATCATGACATGGTTACTAGATTTAAACCATAGAACCGAAAACACTCACCCATAAGGGTTCTTTAGGTCTGAAACTCAGAGCCATCGTTCGATTGGATCTCACCTTACTTCCTGTGTTTGTGTGATGTCACAGCAAGCATGCCCGCCAGCGAGACAGAGTCTGTGAACACTGACAACCCCAACAGAGAGGACGATAAGACTAACTGCTGTGGACCACTCTGGTGAGTCTGTCTGTCTGTGTCTGTGTCTATGTCTGTGTCTGTCTGTCTGTCAAGGTTCAAGATTCCTTTCTACCTGGATAGACTATTGGCTTGAAAAGCTACTGTAATACGTATTTCATGCAAATGGTTATTAACAATATGATTCTTAATTTTCCCAGTCAAAAAATTACAAAATCAAAGTACAGGTCAGTTCTCTGTCGGTACTGTGTGTCATTAATGTTCTTTGCATGGTCCTGGCATTGTGGAGACTCATCATCACGTGCTTGTGTTTTTCCCCCACACACACTCTGTTCCTCCTGATCAGCCACTGCACTCCTGCCCATGTCCTCTTCATCATCACCACATTCTCATCATCATCATCATCATCATTATTATATCTGCCTTTTGATTAGTCTGTGACACATAGATTGAGATCTTCTGTCTAACAAGCATGATTTCATTACAGTTCACAATTAACCTGTGCAAGAAATCCTGTGTTGATCAACCAGCACATAACACCACTTCCTAGTTCGGGTCAGATTGTGACATCATTTCCTCTCTCTTGCAGTCGACGATGGCGTCGCTGGAACCGGTTCTGCCGCAGGAAGTGTCGTGCTGCCGTGAAGTCGGTGTCTTTCTATTGGCTGGTGATCATCCTGGTGTTTCTCAACACGCTCACCATCTCGTCAGAGCACTACAACCAACCTGACTGGCTCACTGAAGTACAGGGTGGGTAGAGGGTCAAAATTGTATTTTCCAATTACATACCCTCAGCATAATGTGCACTTTACAGTGTCCTTCTCAGGAACCCAGTATACATCCTATGATCTCTATGAATCTTGCAATCTGCAATGTTATTGTACTACAGTGTCCTTGATAATCAGACAATACCTATGACATACCCAATAAAATGTTGTTGTTTTTTACAACCAGATACTGTATATCTGCAGCATACTGTTTCTGCAACACTTCCTACCAGATCTCCATAGCAATGATCTTTATAACTGGAACATGTTGTACTGTAATGTCTACATGCTGATGTCCTCTGCTCTTTGCTCTCCAGATGTGGCCAACAAGGTTCTGCTGGCTTTGTTCACGTGTGAGATGCTGGTGAAGATGTATAGTCTGGGCCTGCAGGCCTACTTTGTGTCTCTGTTCAACCGCTTCGACTGCTTCGTGGTGTGTGGCGGCATCGTGGAGACCATCCTGGTGGAGCTGGCCATCATGTCTCCTCTGGGCATCTCTGTGTTCCGTTGTGTCCGCCTGCTACGCATCTTCAAGGTCACACGGTGAGACTGGGAGACTTCAGGAGAGGCTGGACATAGACTGATGTGGTAGAGGTGTATAATGGGACTAAATGTTTACCTCTGTGATACTTTCACGTCATATCTTGTTCCTTGCTCACTGGTTTGATTAGTCAATAACTGTTGGAATATCGATGTCTAGGGATGTGTGCATTCATCTTAACCCTCTCTCTCTCCCCTCTAGCCACTGGGCATCTCTCAGTAACCTGGTGGCGTCGCTGCTCAACTCCATGAAGTCCATCGCCTCCCTCCTGCTCCTGCTCTTCCTGTTCATCATCATCTTCTCCCTGTTGGGCATGCAGCTCTTCGGAGGCAGGTTCAACTTCGACGAGACGATAACCAAGAGGAGCACCTTCGACAACTTCCCCCAGGCACTGCTCACAGTGTTTCAGGTAGGCCGCCTCTACCCGGGGATTATTGACCTATTGACGTTGTGATGATGTTGTAATGACGTTGAGATGCTGTTGTGGTGACGTTGCAATAACGTTGTGATATGACGTTGTGATGACTTGTAATAACAACATTGTGATAATGTCATGATGACGTTGTGATGACATTGTGTTGACTTGTAACAATAGCATTGTAATAATGTTGTGATGCGATGTGATGACATTGTGTTGACTTGTAATAATAACATTTTAATGATGTTGTGATGCGATGTGATGATGTTGTGTTGACTTGTAATAATAGCATTGTAATAATGTCGTGATGGGATGACGTTGTGATGACTTGTAATAATAACATTGTAATAATGTCGTGATGGGATGACGTTGTGACGACATTGCGTTACTGTGTTGTGTGACTCAGATCCTGACAGGCGAGGATTGGAATGCTGTGATGTATGATGGCATCATGGCGTACGGTGGTCCCTTCTCGTCAGGCATGGTCGTCAGCATCTACTTCATCATCCTCTTCGTCTGCGGAAACTGTATCCTGTTTCTAAAACATGGCTTCCACTGCCTGTAGTCATCTAGAATTTAGATCAGTGTTATCCACTGGTTCGAGAGCCGTGCAGGCGTTTGTTGCGCCCCAGCACTAACACACCTGACTCAGCTAGTCATGAGTTACTCTTAATGAGTACTTAGTTTGTTGAATCAATTACATTAGTCCTGAGCTGGAAGAAAATCCTGCACACATTGCAGGCCCACAGGACCAGGAGTGAAGAACAGTGCATTACATTGAAACGTTAGGTGAATGTTGTATCTCTGTTGCCCTTAAGTCCTGTGTGTAATCAGACATCCTGCTGAACGTCTTCTTGGCCATCGCCGTTGACAACCTGGCAGATGCAGAGAGCCTGAACACAGCCCAGAAGGAGGAAGAGGAGGAGAAGGAGAGGAAGAGGAGTTCCAGGTAATGCCAATACTGTCTGGCTGATAGGAGATGGTTATTGTTGTTTTTCCTCCTGACCTGACATGGAGGTTGTCTTGTGTTTGGGGTCATTTTCTCCAGAAGTGACACAGACAAGACAGATGATCTGAAACCTGAAGGCCAGGATGGGGAGATCAAGGTAATCACAGACTTTTAGTTTCAGTGTTTAGAAAGTCAGAGGAGAACAAGCCATAACCACACAGAGGCACCATTAGATAACAAATTGTGCTGATAATCATTGGATATTTTTCACGTATACATTCTTAGCAACTTAGAATGATACAGTGAGGTAAAACCATATGGCATTCATAACAGTACTGATACAATGCTCAATCCGTACCTTCAGGCTCTGATCAGTCCCTACACCCAAACGAGGGCATTGCGTTCATCCACCTCTGGCTGCTGGCTCCCCTACCTCTGCGGAAGCATAGTTCCCGCTCAGCCCAGTCAAAACTGTTCGCTGCTCTGGCACCCCAATGGTGGAACAAGCTCCCTCACGACGCCAGGACAGCGGAGTCACTCACCACCTTCCGGAGACATTTGAAACCCCACCTCTTTAAGGAATACTTGGGATAGGATACAGTATCCTTCTACACCCCCCCCCCCCCCCCCCCCTTTACTCCAACCCCCCCCCCCCCCCCCAAAAAAAAAAAAAAAAAACATTGTAAAGTGGTTATCCCACTGGCTATAAGGTTATTTGTAAGTCGCTCTGGATAAGAGCGTCTGCTAAATGACGTAAATGTAAATGTAAAAATGTCATTTGTGTCTGCATGGGTGTAGGTTCCATTGGAGGAGGAAGTGGAACAGGAAAAGGAGCCGTATCCCACTCCAGATACTCCAGGTAAACTCATCTGTTCTGAGGTCAGTATCCTAGCTTTGGTGCTATAGCTTCCGTGCCCTGACACTGCTTTGTCTCTGATCCTGGATCTCCCCAGTTGGTGATGATGACGATGATGATGATGACGATGATGAGCTGCCAGAGGTTCCGGTTGGGCCACGCCCTCAGAGGCTGTCAGACCTCGGCATCAAAGAGAAGACTCCGCCCATCCCCTGAGGGCAGCGCTTTCTTCATCTTCAGCAACACTAACCCGTCAGTAGGCCTCAGTACAAACATAGGATATTATGCACACACACACACTGACTTTTTTGCATACCGTCCCAACAGATCCATAGATGACGCAATCTCAATTGCTCTCCACACTGCCCTCACCAACCTAGATAAGAGGAATACCTATGTGAGAATGCTGTTCATTGACTACAGCTCAGCATTCCAACACCATTGTCCCCTCCAAGCTTGTCACCAAGCTTAGGACTCTGTGTCTGAACACCTCCCTCTGCAACTGGATCCTGGTCTTCCTGATGGGCCGACCCCAGGTAGTGAGGGTAGGCAACATCACCTCCACCACGCTGACCCTCAACACAGGGGCCCCACAGGGTTTGTGTGCTTAGTCCCCTCCTGTACTCCCTGTTTACCCACGACTGTGTGGCTACGCATGACTCCAACACCATCATCAAGTTTGCTGACGATACGACGGTGCTAGGCCTGATCACAGGCGATGATGAGTCAGCCTATAGGGAGGAGGTCAGTGACCTGGCAGTGTGGTGCCAGAGAAACAACCTCTCCGTCAACGTCAGTAAGGAGTTGATCGTGGACCACAGGAAACAGGGGCGTGTGCACGCCCCCAAACACATGCGCACAGTTGTGAAGAAGGCGCAACAGTGCCTTCTCCCTCAGGAGGTTGAAAAAATCCTCAAAAAGTTCTACAGCTGTACCATTGAATGCATTTTGACTGGTTGCATCACTGCCTGGAATGGCAATAGCACCGCCCTCGATCGCATGGTGCTACAGAGGGTGGTGTGGACAGTACATCACTTGGGACGAGCTCCCTGCCATCCAGGACATCTATATCAGGCGGTGTGGAAGGAAGGCCCGGTAAATTGTTAAAGACTCCAACCACCCAAGCCATAGACTATTCTCTCTGCTTCCGCACGGCAAGCGGTAATGGTGCATCAAGTCTGGCACCAACAGGCTCTTGAACAGCTTCTATCCCCAATCAATAAGACTGATAAATAGCTAACAAAATAGCTACACAGACTATCTGAGTTAACCTTGTATCTTTATTGACCTAGGTTTATCTCTAAGCACACTCACAGGGCAATACACACACACACTCGCTCAATCACACATAATATGTACATACATTTATACGGACTCTACACACCCGCACACCCACTCACATACAAGCTGCTGCTACTCTGTTTATCTTATATCCTGTTGCCTAGTCACCTTACCCCTATACATACATTTAAGTATTAATCCCCCTAGGCTTTTTTTCTATTTTGTTGCATTACAACCTGTAATTTAAATTTAGATAATGTAATGGACATACACAAAATAGTCAAAATTGGTGAAGTGAAATGAAAAAAATAACTTGTTTCAAAAAATTCTAAAAAATAAATGACGGAAAAGTGGTGCGTGCATATGTATTCACCCCCTTTGCTATGAAGCCCCTAAATAAGATCTGGTGCAACCAATTACCTTCAGAAGTCACATAATTAGTTAAATAAAGTCCACCTGTGTGCAAAGTGTCACATGATCTCAGTAAATATACACCTGTTCTGAAAGGCCCCAGAGTCTGCAACACCACTAAGCAAGGGGCACCACCAAGTAAGCGGCACCATGAAGAATTTGAACATCCCACGGAGCACCATTAAATCCATTATAAAAAAATTGAAAGATATGGCACCACAACAAACCTGCCAAGAGAGGGCCGCCCACCAAAACTCACGGACCAGGCAAGGAGGGCATTAATCAGAGAGGCAACAAAGAGACCAAAGATAACCCTGAAGGAGCTGCAAAGCTCCACAGCGGAGATTGGAGTATCTGTCCATAGGACCACTTTAAGCCGTACACTCCACAGAGCTGGGCTTTACGGAAGAGTGGCCAGAAAAAAGCCATTGCTTAATGAAAAAAACAAGCAAACACGTTTGGTGTTCGTCAAAAGGCATGTGGGAGACTCCCCAAACATATGGAAGAAGGTACTCTGGTCAGATGAGACTAAAATGTAGCTTTATGGCCATCAAGGAAAACGCAATGTCTGGCGCAAACCCAACACCTCTCATCACCCGAAGAACACCATTCCCACAGTGAAGCATGGTGGTGGCAGCATCATGCTGTGGGGATGTTTTTCATCGGCAGGGACTGGGAAACTGGTCAGAATTGAAGGAATGATGGATGGCACTAAATACAGAGAAATTCTTGAGGTAAACCTGTTTCAGTCTTCCAGCGATTTGAGACTGGGACGGAGGTTCACCTTCCAGCAGGACAATGACCCTAAGCATACTGCTAAAGCAACACTTGAGTGGTTTAAGGGGAAACAGTTAAATGTCTTGGAATGGCCTAGTCAAAGCCCAGACCTCAATCCAATTGTGAATCTGTGGTTTGACTTAAAGATTGCTGTACACCAGCGGAACCCATCCAACTTTAAGGAGCTGGAGCAGTTTTGCCTTGAAGAATGGACAAAAGTCCCAGTGGTTAGATGTGCCAAGCTTATAGAGACATACCCCAAGAGACTTGCAGCTGGAATTCCTGCAAAAGGTGGCTCTACTCTACAAAGTATTGACTTTGGGGGGGGGGGGGGGGGGGGGGTGAATAGTTATGCACGCTCAAGTTTTCAGTTTTTTTAGGTCTTATTTCTTGTTTGTTTCACAATAAAAAACATTTTGCATCTTCAAAGTGGTAGGCATGTTGTGTAAGTCAAATTATACAAACCCCCCAAAAAATCTATTTTAATTCCAGGTTATAAGGCAACAAAATAGGAAAAATGCAGAGGGGGGTGAATACTTTCGCAAGCCACTGTATCTACCTCCATCACTCCAGTATCCCTGCACATTTGTAAATATGGTATTGGAACTGACCCTGTATATAGTATGCTTACTTACTTACTTACTTGTTGTGTTCTTCATATTTCTTCTTATTTCTCGTGTGTTTTTTTAAATAGTATTACATTGTTATTGATTATTGCATTGTTGGGTTTTGAGTTTGCAAGAAAGGCATTTCACTGTACTTGTGCATGTGACATTAAAACTTGAAACACACACACACACACTCACTCACTCACAAATAATGTGTAATTTCATGGCTTTCTTTCTCAGGGTCCGGGTGGCCTGCCACAAGCTGACCAACCACCACATCTTCACCAACCTCATCCTGGTCTTCATCATGCTGAGCTCTGTGTCTCTGGCTGCTGAGGACCCCATACGCAACTTCTCCGCACGCAACATCGTATGTATACTGCAGCAGCAGCCTTTTCTCTGACATTCAAAATAACAATTAAAGCTGCAATATGTCACTTTTTGGGTGACCCGACCAAATTCACATATAAATATGAGTTATAGATCTGTGATTCTCATTGAAAGCAAGTCTAAGAAGCGGTAGATCTGTTCTATGTGCGCTATTTCTCTGCTTCTCGTTCTTAAGTTCAGTTTTTGCGTCGATTACTTCCGGTTTTGTACACCAGCTTCTAACAGCTGAAAATACTATATTTATGGTTATTGAAAATATATTTCACAGCGGTTTAGATGGTACAATGATTCTCTACATTATACAGTTGAAGTCGGAAGTTTACATTCACCTTAGCCAAATACATTTAAATTCAGTTTTTCACAATTCCTGACATTTAATCCTAGTAATAATTCTCTGTTTTAGGTCAGTTAGGATTACCACTTTATTTGAAGAATGTGAAATGTCAGAATAATAGTAGAGAGAATGATTTATTTCAGCTTTTATTTCTTTCATCACATTCCCAGTGGGTCAGAAGTTTACATACACTCAATTAGTATTTGGTAGCATTGCCTTTAAATTGTTTAACTTGGGTCAAACATTTTGGGTAGCCTTCCACAAGCTTCCCACAATAAATTGGGTGAATTTTGGCCCATTCCTCCTGACAGAGCTGGTGTAACTGAGTCAGGTTTGTAGGCCTCCTTGCTCGCACACGCTTTTTCAGTTCTGCCCACAAATGTTCTATAGGATTGAGGTCAGGGCTTTGTGGTGACCACTCCAATACCTTGACTTTGTTGTCCTTAAGCCATTTTGCCACAACTTTGGAAGTATGCTTGGGGTCATTGTCCATTTGGAAGACCCATTTGCGACCAAGCTTTAACTTCCTGACTGATGTCTTGAGATGTTGCTTCAATATATCCACATCATTTTCCTTCCTCATGATGCCATCTATTTTGTGACGTGCACCAGTCCCTCCTGCAGCAAAGCACCCCCACAGCATGATGCTGCCACCCCCGTGCTTCACGGTTGGGATGGTGTTCTTCGGCTTGCAAGAACCCCCTTTTTCCTCCAAACATAACGATGGTCATTATGGCCAAACAGTTCTATTTTTGTTTCATCAGACCAGAGGACATTTCTCCAAAAAGTACGCTCTTTGTCCCCATGTGCAGTTGCAAACCGTAGTCTTGCTTTTTTATGGCGGTTTTGGAGCAGTGGCTTCTTCCTTGCTGAGCGGCCTTTCAGGTTATGTCGATATAGGAATTCGTTTTTACTGTGGATACAGATACGTTTGTACCTGTTTTCTCCAGCATCTTCACAAGGTCCTTTGCTGTTGTTGTGGGATTGATTTGCACTTTTCGCACCAAAGTACGTTCATCTCTAGGAGACAGAACGCGTCTCCTTCCTGAGCGGTATGATGGCTGCGTGGTCCCATGGTGTTTATACTTGCGTACTATTGTTTGTACAGATGAACGTGGTACCTTCAGACATTTGGAAATTGCTCCCAATGATGAACAAGACTTGTGGAGGTCTACAAATCTTGGCTGAATTCTTTTGATTTTCCCATGATGTCAAGCAAAGAGGCACTGAGTTTGAAGGTAGGCCTTGAAATACATCCACAGGTACACCTCCAATTGACTCAAATGATGTCAATTAGCCTATCAGAAGCCACTAAAGCCATGACATCATTTTCTGGAATTTTCCAAGCTGTTTAAAGGCACAGTCAACTTAGTGTATGTAAACTTCTGACCCACTGGAATTGTGAAACAGTGAATTATAAAATGAAATAATCTGTCTGTAAACAATTGTTGGAAAAATTACTTGTGTCATGCACAAAGTAGATGTCCTAACCGACTTGTCAAAACTATAGTTTGTTAACAAGACATTTGTGGAGTGGTTGAAAAACGAGTATATTCAACTGTATATTGCTTGTTTTGTCACAAACTGAAATTAGGTGAACTATTAACTTTTTTGCAACAAATTTCTGCATATTGCACCTTTAATAGCATCAAGATTACTTTCATGAAAGTAATTTGACTGTAATTTTACAGTAATGACATTAAGATCATGTTTAACAGTGAAATGGAATATCCATGTTAAAAAGAAAATGTTAACTAAAAACTAAAACCTATACTCAATAGCAGTGGTTATAGATATTTTGTTATCAATTTAGGATGGTTGATGCATTCTGAAGTTGTTGATATCATGTCATGTGGTGATGCCTTGAACTCCTGTTAAACTTTCACATTGCCTTTTGCAGATACTTGGTTATTTTGACTATGCTTTCACGGCAATCTTTACTGTTGAGATCCTGTTGAAGGTAAATGCTTTCCCCTGTGTGTGTGTGTGTGCTGTGCTCTACTGCTTGTGTAGTAACAGTCCAACCTTCTTGTTGCTTTCCAGATCCTAGGCTATGCAGATTATGTCTTCACTAGCATGTTTACCTTTGAGATCCTGTTGAAGGTAACCTGGTTTCTATGACAACCATAGCCTTGCTGCACTCCCCTGTCTACTGTATGTCGCCTGTTTGTAAATGGCGCACATTTTTTCCTGTTTGTCTCTTAGCAACCATCACGACACCTCTTTTAACCACAAACGGACCTGAAGCTCAATAGATAACACCAGATGTTATCCGATGAGTTGTTGTTCTTTTAATTTGGAGCCAAAATAGCGGGCAATATGTATTTTTTTGTGTAGCATGGATCACTCTTATAGCATAATCCACTGCCTTCTTATTGTGTACAGTTTAAACTGCACCCTGTAAAGATGAGGGTTCATGGTAGGTCACCTCTTTGTGAATCTCCACCATAGAGATTCTTTCCCTGGTTGGTAGATCTGTTTCTCCTTTAGCCAACAACTCCTTTGTCATTATGAGTTTGGCCTGAACTAAAGAATAAACAGATCTGACATGCTTTCCAGACCCAATTCCCTTCTGCTGCTCAGCCCCCCACCTGTGTGTTCTCTTTGCTTCATGTGAGGACTCACGTCCGCATCCTATTGGTCATACGTTTGTTTTGGTATGATGTCGTCATCCTTCCCCCTCGAGTACTTCCACAGAATGTGCATGAAACCACGACACACATGAATGACTCTGAAGCAATTTGACTACACTTTTGAATGCAACCTTATCCCCCCCCCCATCTGGTTTGGGGGGTTTTCATACACTTGTTTACCTCTCCCCTGATGCAATGCCCATGTTTCGTGTTTTAAGCCTGGGCTTGAAGATGCAAATGACAGAACCAATAGATTACTAGTATATTCATGGAATGCAGTTTGAGCAATCTTTGTTCTAATCTTTACATGAAATGAATAGCATATCTCTGAAATAATATGTCCAATGTCAGAACGATTCTCATTTGTCAATGAGAGAGAGAGAGAGAGAGAGAGAGAGAGAGAGAGATATTGAGTTTTAAATAATCTTTATTGGGTCTGGGAGCCCACCACACAAATACTCATACAAAACCGTATTTACACATCAATTAAAAACACAACTCCAATTCCTCCTCCACAGTAACTGAACACAACAGCATCTGAATACCCCATATACTCATAAACAGATCAATATTGTTGACCAGTTTATAATAGGCAAACTCAATTCTTAGTCTTGCTGCCAACATTCCCTCCAGCATTCCCACCACATCCACAGACCCCTGTCCCCGAATACTGTTCTTTCGGGTCTTCCATATGGCTAATTTTGCTGCCCCTAACACAAAATTAAGCAACACAACTACAGCTTTCTGACTAAACCTGTACTTTGGCCCAAATATATACAGTTGGGAAGAGAAAACCTCTCCCAGAGCTGAGAACCAATTAGTGATCAGGTCAATCATCCCGACCAACCTGGGACACTGTAAAAACAGATGTGCCAGTGTTTCAGACTGAGCACAGAATGGACACCCCTCCCCAACAGTAGGATCCAGGTGTACCAGATACATGTTGGTGGCTATGGCTCCATGTATTATCCTCCATTGGAGGTCAGCTGTCCTCTTATCAATAGGCAGTTTGTATAGTGTTCGCCAACAGCCTTTTGGGGAGGCACCTGGACCAAGCACACCCGCCCACCTCGTCGATTTTACCCCTTCCAGGGAAGAGGCGTGGGACACCTTTACACATATTCTGTACATGGCCTTCTTTCCCACCTCCTTGAACTCCCCCAGCTCCGGGGTATCGAAGGAAAGCAGCATCCCCACGTCCTCCTCGAATGCCCCCGCCGCAGCACTAACAATCAGTGCAGGGAACACATAATCCAGACCCTCCTTCCACCGATCAGAATTGGAAGTGTCAGTCACATACTGCAGATGAAGTACTGGCAAGGAATCACAGACCTCAGCGACGACCTTCCTCAGTAGGCGAGACGATCGGATCCCCGCTCTTTCTCCCAGCTCCTCCAACGACCTATTCCTGTTCCACATCAGATGACCCAGCTTAGTACACCCCACGCCTAACAGGCATGAACGTAGGCTAGCTGAACCCAGAACACGGGACTGGATGGCAGTGTTGTGAAAAAGAGGCTCTTCAAAAAGCCACATCCCTGGTGGCGTGCAGGCCTTACGGGACTTGACCAGAACTCTCCAAGCCTGCATAACAGACTCATAAAATGGAGTCAGGCCAGGCAACTCACCCCCCTCCAGCTTTAAGAGGAAAAGGTGCTTGTCTAAGCCCAAACAGCCCGCTCTCCTCATCAATGCGTAGGCTGTGTCAACCCAGCTAGAACCGTCACTGTACAACAGTCTCTGGGCTGCTTGAAGCCGGAAAGCCATGATCCTGGAAGAAATGTCCACCAGGCCTTGCCCACCCTCGTGCAGTGGCAGGTACAGGGCTGAAGCTTTAATCCAATGTTGTCCAGACCAGAAGAAGTTGACAAGGGTCCTCTGAAGCTCTTGTATCAGACCCTTTGGTGGCTGTAAAATCATTAGTCTGTGCCACAGGGTAGAGGCAGCTAGGTTATTAGCTACCAGTACCCTTCCCCTATAAGACAGCTGGGGCAGCACCCATTTCCATCTTGACAGTCTGGCACACACTTTCTCCACTACACCCTCCCAGTTCTTTTTCTGAAAGACATCGGAGCCTAGAAAAACCCCCAAAGTCTTCATCCCATCTCTGCCCCACTGAAGCCCCCCTGGTAACCGTGGAGCGGACCCCATCTGAAGCTGGCCTGCCCACAGCGCTTCACTCTTTCCCCAATTGACTCTAGCTGAGGAGGCCCCCTCATACACCTTTAAGGCGTCTGAGAGAACCTTAACATCCTCACCCCCTGTAATAAAAACTGTCACGTCATCTGCATACGCAGACAGTGCTATCGTGGGACCCTTCATTACACCTGGCACAGAGAAACCAGTAAGCTTCGCTCTTAAAAAACAAAGCATTGGTTCAATCGCCAGACTGTATAACTGCCCTGAAATTGGGCATCCCTGCCTGATGCCCCTTTGGACAGGGATGGGACAACTCAAACCACCCCCCACCTTCACCATACACGAGGCCCCAGCATACAGTAACTTCATCCAAGACAAAAAAACATCCCCAACCCCAAAGGCTTTCATTGTTTTAAACGAGTACTGGTGGTCCACACGATCAAAAGCCTTCTCCTGATCCAAAGAAAGTAAACCCACATTTACATCAGACAGTTTACAAATGTCCAAAACATCTCTTATTAGAAACAAGTTGTCAACAATAGAGCGATCAGGTACACAGTAGGACTGGTCCTTGTGGACCAACAATCCCAGATACTCTTTCAACCTGTTTGAGAGACATTTAGAAACAATTTTATATTCTGCACACAGCAAAGCAACAGGTCTCCAATTTTTTATGAGAGCCAAATCCCCCTTTTTTGGCAACAGTGAAAGTACCGCACGTTGACAAGATACAGGAAGAGAGCCCTCATGAAAAGATTCACACACCACTTCATAAAAATCCTCCCCAATAGACCCCCAAAAGTGCTTGTAAAACTCAGATGGTAAACCATCAATGCCAGGGGCTCGGCCTGTTGAGAGCTGCATAACTGCTGTGGACAGCTCTTGCAGTGTAATGTCAGAGTCCAATGCGACTCTTTGCTCAGGTCCCAATTGAGGAAGACCGTGTAACAACTGTTCAGTACACAGAGAGTCACAATCCTCCGCCTTATAGAGGGCAGAATAGAAATCCACGGCATGTTGACGCATTTCACTGTCATCCGTGGTCACCTTCCCATCAGGGAGACGAAGGCAGACCATCTGTTTACGTTGCAATGTCGACTGTCCTAGGTTAAAAAAAAAAGCACTAGGAGCATCCATATCCTTGAGGGAAGCGAAACGAGACCTAATCAAGGCACCCTTCACTCTTTCATGCAGAAACGACCTCAATTCATGTTTCTTGTCCTGTAAGTTCATGACTAGTCCGGGGTCATTCTGAGTGAGCAACTTCAATTCAATAGATTTAATGTTCTGCTCAAGGGCCCTGATAGTCTCTTTAACTTCAATTCGAGACAGAGCAGTATACTGTTGACAAAATAATCGTATTTGGGCCTTCCCAACCTCCCACCATTGTCTCAAGGACTCAAAATTCCCTTTTGTAACCCTCCATTTTTCCCAAAACAACAAAAACCTTTCACAAAACATGACATCATGTAACAATTTAACATTAAAATACCAATAAGATGATGACCTTCGTGGACAGGACAAGTGAATATCAACAGTGACAATATGGTGATCAGAGAAACCCACAGGAGTAATGTCACACCTTCCAACCCTACTACAGTATTGCTCAGATACATACAACCTGTCTAACCTTGCTGCACTGACATGACCTTCATTAACTTTTAGCCATGTGTACTGCCTAACTTTTGCATTCCTTACTCTCCACACATCAGAAAGCTCAAACTCAGTTAATAGACCAGACAGACAAATTGCTGACCGCAGGTGAGGTTCTTCAGCGGTGCGATCAACAGTAAAATCCACTGTACAGTTCCAGTCCCCCCCTAAAACCATACACCCCTCTTGGTCACACTGTCTTAAGGTTTCCTTTATTTTATCAAAACCAACAATACGCTCTGTACCCTCATTAGGAGCATAAACATTCAAAAAAACAAACAAAAACCCCATAACATCCACCTTGACCAATAAAACCCGACCCTTGACAATCTCTGTTGTAGATACCACAGTCACCCCTAAGCCTGAAGAAAACAAGATTGCCACCCCAGCACTGAAATTAGTACCATGACTGAGTATATGCTGCCCCTCCCACCACATACCCCAGTCAGCCGCATTTTCCTCATCACTATGTGTCTCCTGTAGGAAAACTACATTAAGCCTTTTCTGTTTTATTACTTCTAATACCCAAGCCCTCTTATTCCTGTCCCTTCCTCCATTAATGTTGAGAGAACCTACCCTTAGTACCTCCATATAGAAAAGAAAAAGGAAAAGCAGAAGATACCACAGAGAAACCAGACAAAGAGAATAGAACACCCTATGAGGCATAATCATCATCATTATTTAAATTTTCTCTTAACCTGACCACGTTTCCCACCACCCTTTGCTGCTGCAACAGCAGTAACAAATTTCCTCAAGCGAAACCGCTTCTTCTCACTCAACTGGTCTAACCCCACCGTCTTCTGTAACATCACAGCTGACCTCACAAACTTATCAACATCAAAATAATCTGCCAATTTGACAGATTTCCCAAAAGTCTGATCCAGAAACCCTTTTACCTCCTCTAGATCGTAAATTGAGTCCTCACCAGCTGATACCGTATCAAGAGAGATATCCATATCCATATCCTTCTCCTGATCCTCCTCAACTGAGGCCACAGACCACTGACTCCCCTCTACCACATCCCTTTCAACACTCCCCACTTGCACCCCATCACTCGTACCAGGCATCTCCTCCACTACCTGGGAGACTAGCCCCACCTGAACCCCATTACTCGTAGTGGGCATCTCCTCCACTACCTGGGAGACTAGCCCCACCTGAACCCCATTACTCCTAGTGGGCATCTCCCCCACTACCTGGGAGACTAGCCCCACCTGAACCCCATTACTCGTAGTGGGCATCTCCTCCACTACCTGGGAGACTAGCCCCCCCTGTAACCCAGCACTCATAGTGGGCATCTCCTCCACTACCTGGGAGACTAGCCCCCCCTGTACCCCAGCACTCATAGTGGGCATCTCCTCCACTACCTGGGAGATGAGCTCCACATGAACCCTCTCCTGTAACCCATTACTTGTAGTGGGCATCTCCTCCACTACCTGGGAGATTAGCTCCACATGTACCCCCTCCTGTACCACAGCACTCGTACTGGGCACCTCCTCACCAGTCTGAGGAAATGGCCCTTCAGATCCATCCTTACCTTCTACAACAAAAAAATCCCCCTGCATAACATTTCCCTCTGGTACAAGTTGCACCTCTGTGCCCTCAACACGGACAACTTGTTCCTCAGCAACAGATGCGTGCGGCTGCTCTACCACTGTCAGCCCACCTCTTCCTACATCAGTGGGCCCAGGCGTTACGAGGACCACCTGCGCCCCTCCCTCTGCCTTCTCCCTTTTCGGGCAAGCATGTCGCTTATGACCAACATCCCCACACTCAAAACACCGTTGACTACCTGTACTAGCATAAGCCATATACAATCTATTGTCATACTTGACTTTAAACGATAACTCCAAAGTCTGTTCCGGTGAGTCCAAAAACATAAACACCTGTCGCCGAAACGACATTACCTGTTTCAACGCCGGGTGTTTGCAACCCAATGGGACAACCTTAATTGAACTTGCAAACTTCCCAAAGCGCAATAACTCGCGCTCCAATAGCTCATTTGGAATGAACGGCGGTACATTTGAAATCGTTACCCTTGTTGACGGAGAAAAAAGCGGCGTAACTTGAATAAACATTCCTTTAAGAAGTATGCCATGCTCAACCATACGATCAACAAGGCGCTCTTCTTTAAGAAATACCACCACCGCTTTATTCATCCGTGACGCATAAGCAACATTCTCATATCCTACCTTCTCTCCTACGGCGACCAAAACCTCTTCCACCGTGACAGTAGCTTCAGTAACACACCTAAAGCCGTGCCGAAGTGACAGGGACGGCGTCCCGATTCGGGCCGCCATCCCCACCAAAATCAGGGTAATTTCGACACGAAAAACAATATACTTAATTCTGCCGCAACAAAAAAATATAAATAATAACCTTAATCATGCATAGAAGAAAAAAAGGATATCACCAAGAAAAGGAAAACCCAGGATATCTAACTCTACACAACACTCGCACTTAGCACTCACTCAAACAATTCCCAGCACGCACCAAACACTCCCAGGATGCAGAGATAGAGAGAGAGAGAGAGAGAGAGATTCTATGTCTCTATTGTCTGATATGCAATTTAATGTTTTCTTTGTTGTATCTGAGTTTCTGTAGAAACCAATTTTTGTGGCATTGAATAGTATGTGTAGGAGTTTGAGTAAGAGTGGAACTAGCTCTGTGTGTAGGTGGACGTGTTTCACTATACTTGTGTAGACCAGAAGTCCCCACAAGAACTATAAAAAAATTTGACTAACTGGAGAATAGTAAACTAACAAAAATTTCACCTACTGGGGACATTTTCTTAGTCCCCACAAGGAAAAATGCTATTTCTAGGGTATTTAGGATTAAGGCTAGAATTAGTGTTAGGGTTAGAATTAGGGGTTAACGGGTAGGTTTAGGGTTATGGTTAGGTTTTTGGGGTTAGGGTAAGGGTCAGGGTTGGGTTTAGGTTTAGGGGTTAGGGAAAATATGATTTTTAATGGGAATCAATTGTGTGTCCCCCACAAGGTTAGATAAACAAGACTGTGTGTGTTTGTCTGCCCACGTCTATGTCATCTACATTTATAGCTAAAGCTATTGTGTCTAGTAAGAGACAGCCCAATGTATAAGGTCAGTATATCTGATGCCAGTTTCTCTGTGTTCTCCAGATGACAGCGTTTGGGGCTTTCCTCCATAAAGGAGCCTTCTGCAGGAACTACTTCAACCTGCTGGACCTACTGGTGGTGGGAGTCTCTCTGGTGTCCTTCGGCATTCAGTACGTAATCAATCAATCCATACATTCATCAATCAAGCAACCAACCAATGTGGCCATAACTGTCTGTGTTTGGTGTTCAGGTCATCTGCCATCTCGGTGGTGAAGATCCTGCGTGTGTTGAGGGTGCTGCGGCCCCTTAGGGCCATCAACAGAGCCAAGGGCCTCAAGGTGAGACAGGGGTCCCGTGGGCCACAGTGGAACAACTGTTTAACAACGCACCCAGAGAAAACCTATTCTAACTAGTACACTTCCACAAGGGAACCAACTGCTGAAATCCCCTGTAAATCATCATGCTAAGGGTACAGGGTTCAATAAGGTCATTCGTCCCTGACCTTTTCTCTCTCGTCTCCTCTGCTTTTGACCCCTGACCCTACAGCATGTGGTCCAGTGTGTATTTGTGGCCATCAGGACCATTGGTAACATTATGATCGTCACCACGCTGCTACAGTTCATGTTCGCCTGCATAGGAGTGCAGCTCTTCAAGGTACCTACCTCCATTACAGTGTGACAGAATGTCAATGATAACACGGTGGACACACTGAGTGTTGTGTGTGCAGTAGTGTGGGATAGAATAGCAGCTGTTAATGTTCTGTTCTCTCGCTCAGGGCAAGTTCTATCGATGCACAGACGACGCCAAGTCCAGCCCAGAGGAATGCAAGTAAGTTGGATTTGCTCTCCATTTTTCTCCCTGTACTATGCTGAAGACAATTGTAAGCTTATCATTGTGTGTGTGTGTATGTTTGTCTGTTAATGTGTCATACAGATACGTAAATCTGTATGTAGAACTATAACTTCTTCTCTCCTCGTGTAGAGGCACATACATCCTGTATAAGGATGGAGACACAGTGTTGCCTGCAGTCAGGGAGAGGATCTGGTACAACAGCGACTTCAACTTTGACAACGTCCTCATGGCCATGATGGCTCTGTTCACCGTCTCTACGTTTGAAGGCTGGCCCGCGTAAGAGCCTCTCACAGACGCACGCACACAGCAAACGCATACGTGAACATACACACTCCCACGTATGCGTATCCAGACACGCATACATTTTCACGAAGCGTCTCACTGATTAGGGTGTTTGTTTGTTTCTGTGGCTCAGTCTGCTGTACAAGGCCATCGACTCCAACAGAGAGAATATGGGTCCCATCTACAACTACCGCGTGGAGATCTCCATCTTCTTCATCATCTACATCATCATCATCGCCTTCTTCATGATGAACATCTTCGTCGGTTTCGTCATCGTCACCTTTCAGGAGCAGGGAGAGAAAGAGTACAAGAACTGTGAGCTGGACAAAAACCAGGTAAGAGCCTAGTGTGTGTGTGTGTGTGTGTGTGTGTGTGTGTGTGTGTGTGTGTGTGTGTTTGATTAACTCTGTGTTCTCTCTACCCTCTCCAGCGTCAGTGTGTAGAGTACGCTCTGAAGGCTCGCCCGCTGCGGAGGTACATCCCTAAGAACCCCTACCAGTATAAGTTCTGGTATGTGGTCAACTCCACTGGCTTTGAGTACGTCATGTTCGTGCTCATCATCCTCAACACACTGTGTTTGGCGATCCAGGTGAGTCCCTACTGCTATGCCTCTATTGCCCTCTATAGCCCTCTATAGCCCTCTCTCTGTCTCTCTGTGTGTCTCTCTGTCTGGGTCTATTTATCTGTCCCTCTATGTCTCTCTGTCTCTCTCTGTGTTCTGTGACATTTTGTCAGACTCGTTAACTCTATATTTATCTTTCTGTCTATATCTCATCATGCTTCTTTCTGTTCTCCAATGCCACCTTCTCTCTCTTTCTCCAACCCTCTCTCGCTCCCTCGCTCTCCATTTCCTCAGCACTATGGCCAGTCCCACCTGTTCAACTACGCCATGGACATCCTCAACATGGTCTTCACTGGCGTCTTCACTGTGGAGATGATCCTCAAACTCATCGCCTTCAAACCCAGGGTGAGTCAGTCAGTCGGCCTGCCTCGTAGCTTGCATCATAGACCAGTTATCTGACCTCTCTCCCTCCTCTCATCCCTCTCTCCCACTGTCAAGTATTTCCCTCTGTAATATTGACCTTAACACTCCCCGCTCACCCTTTCCCTCTCTACTTCTTACCCTCCACTGACCATCCTACCCCTCTCCCTACCTTCCCCTGCGGTGCGCTCTGTACCGTGGCCTGTAGGGGTATTTTGGGGACGCCTGGAACGTCTTCGATGCCCTGGTGGTGATCGGCAGCGTAGTAGACATCATTCTCAGTCAGGTAGATGTGAGTATTGTAATAGACCTGCCCTTCCTTCCTCCCTCCCTCCCTTCCTCCCTTCCTCCCTTCCTTCCTTCCTTCCTTCCATCATTCCTTCATTCCTTCATCTTTTTCTAGACTCACTCGATCCATTTTCTGGTCCTAAAGCCAGTCTGTTGGCTCCTTGGCCCAGTGTCAAGGCTGGTCACCCATAGGTCTAGATCAGGGTTCCTCAACTGGCGGCACGGCCCTCAGATGGCTTTATTTGGCCCCCCATGTTTTCTGAACAAAGAAAACAGACGTTGTTTTTTTTGTTGGACATTAAAAAATGTAAAAACACCAGGAAATCAGCTCCAAGTTATTTTTATTTGGGGAATCTGTCTCTAAGTATTTCCCCGCATAATAGAGGAACACGTGATCATATACAAATGTAAGCAAGGTTTGAAATTATGATGTTTTAGTGAAAGATTATATCTGTTTGTGATTCTAGCGGTCAATTTGCAGTCTACAAATTATTTGTAATTATGTTCCGGCCCCCCGACCATCCGCTCAAGAAAAAATCGGTCCGTGACGGAATTTAGTAGATGATCCCTTGTCTGGACTGGTGTTGGGTCTAGGTCTATGGTGGCCAGTTACTCAGCACTGTGTAGGCACTGTATCAGTGAGAAACGTATAACACCTTATAGAGGGTTGTAGGGTTCATAACAGATCATAGTCAGAAGAACTTCATTCACTGTTTCATAAGTATAAGTTGGGCTCCTTAGAGGCTTGCATCACAGGAGGCTGCTGAGGGGAGGACGGCTCATAACAATGGCTGGAATGGAGTTTATGGAATGGTATCAAACACATGGAAACTATATGTTTGATGAGTTCGATAGCATTCCATTGATTCCCTTCCAGCCATTACTATGAGCCCGTCCTCCCCAATTAAGGTGTCACCGGCCGCCTGTGGCATGCATACGTCTTGTATTCTCACAGACAGTGCCACTCAGACGCTTTTTCTACTTCTTGTTGTATTCTTTCATGTCTTAACTCATGTCTATTTTCACATCTCTCTATCCTTCTCTTTCTCTCTTTCTGCCTCTGTTCTCTCTCTGTTCTCTCCCCGTCTCTCCCCTTCTCTTTGTGCCCGTGGGCTGGCGCTTACAGCACTATTTCTCTGATGCATGGAACACGTTTGATGCCTTAATTGTTGTTGGTAGCGTCGTTGACATTGCAATCACAGAGCTCAATGTAAGTAGCCATCTTCATGTCACGTGTCCTGTAGCATTATTGGAGGGAATGCCTTGCAATAACATCAGGGTTACATTCAAGATCCCCAAATGGTTTCATGTCCCAGACATGTTCATTAACTGTGGTAGATAGCTCTTTGGAAAGTTGTTGCTCTATCTAGCTGTTTAGAAGCATTGGCAATCATGAATGCAACCCTATGAGCCTTGGAGATCAACATTTGGCATGTGATATCTATAAATGTGATGACAACTGAGTCAGATCTTTACCAGATTTGTAAGATTTTATAATGATAGGACAGTTTTGAAACACTCTAAGGCAGTGGTATTCAAAGTCGGGGTCGCGGGGGAATTGCAGTGGGGCCAAAAAAGTACAGATTATTGTACGGGACAATATACAAAAGTTGAGTTTTTTTTATGTAAAAATCTAAATGTAGTGATTTTAAGGTTGTGTCATTAGATTTGGGGTGTGGTGGGGTCGCCAGAAATTCAAGTGAACGAAATTAGGTCCCCGCTGAAAAAGTTTGAATACCACTGCTCTAAGGGTTATTGCGATGACTCCCTCCAATATGTTGTCTAGATTAGGGATCCATGCTTGGTGCTGTTCTGTGACTGTGTGTCATCATGAAGTTTGTGTGGCTCTGTCTTTTCTTCTGTTTGGAATACAAATCTAAACACACATATGGCCTTGCACACATACACAAAAACAGAGTGTCTTACTACATGGTAAGTGAGTTAAGTGAAACAATATATTTATATTAGTCAGGTTAGTCATATTGTAACATACTGTCATAAATGTGTTTGACCAATGAGTGACAATCACATTGGATATTTACTTTAATGATTTAATGTTAAACCAAGTTTGTATTTCTGGGACCTCCTCATTATCTGGTACCGGTCAAAGTTTTCTTTCTTCACCTGTGTAGAATTGTATGGCACGTTTTATGCACTGAACATGCTACTGTGATCATACTGTGCTAAGTTACTGTGATTCTGCTTTGCATGAGAGGCAAAGATGATGGTGTCCAGTGTCAATAATGTTGCTTACTGTAACATGTCTGTTATGGATGTTCTCTGATTCCTGAGTTTTATTAAAGAAGTTACAATCATATTTTTCTGGGTTGATTGAATCAACAATGAAGAAATGTAATGACATTGTTAAGCAGTCATAAGATAAGTAATTATGTCTATAACAATGTCAATGACTAATTGATGACATCAATGAAATGAGTGATGAAACAGTCAAGTTGTTAGTGGTTAACCCAGACCTTTGGTTTCAAGGCCCTCCCAGTGGTGAAGGTGATTGTGGAGCCAGGGGTAAGAAGCCCCTCCCACTAACCCACTCTTCCTCATCGTCATCGTTTCTGTTGTCAGTCAGTCAGTCGTCACGTTAGTTTGGAATGAAATATCATGTTCTGAATTACATTCTTTATTGAGGCTTTGTCTTGCCTGTTTTGTGGCCTGGTACCATGGACAAGATCAGTTCTGGTTTGGGATCTTGCTCGTGTTGATAGTCATCTCATTATCAGTCTTTTGTTATGTTGTTTTGTTCATGTTTGACCTGGATCATGTAGATGCTGTGGGTTTGCTTGTTTCTAAAGCAGTCATTCAACGGAGCATGTGTCTGGACATTCCCACCAAGTCTGGAGACATGCCCCTGTATGACTCCTAGGAGTGGGGACACTTGTCTTTGGTGGCTACTGTATGTATGTGGCTGTGTATGCATTGCATTCACACAAGTCAAGGACTCTTGCATGTTCTTCTACCTGAATGCGTACACACATGCATTGATGTGCACCCACCCACCCACCACACACACACACACACACACACAACACAAACACAAACTGCATGTTGATCTCTGGCCTGCTCCTAGCTGTGTGTTAAAGCAGTACCATCAGTCCTATGGGTGTTCCACCTCCTGTTTCTCTCTCTGTCTCAGAACACAGAGGACAGCGCTCGCATCTCCATCACATTCTTCCGCTTGTTTCGAGTCATGCGATTGGTCAAGCTGCTCAGCAGAGGGGAGGGCATCCGAACGCTCCTGTGGACCTTCATCAAGTCCTTCCAGGTGAGAGAATAATCCACTCAGGTAACAGCGGAGTCATACGGGTCAGACTGTAACCATACAGGTGAAGGTGCACCTTCTCTTCCTGAGTCTGAACACACTACTGAAACTGTCCTTCTCTCTCTGGCATTCATTCCTAGGCTCTTCCCTATGTTGCCCTCCTGATAGCCATGTTATTCTTCATCTATGCTGTTATTGGAATGCAGGTAACTGACAAACATTTCTCTTTGAATTGACATTATGATTAGCTTATCTACAGGACTTGTTCCTTCGTAACACACTGTGTTGTTTGTTTCAGGTGTTTGGAAAGATCGCCATGGTAGACGGCACACAGATTAACCGCAACAACAACTTCCAGACCTTTCCTCAAGCTGTCCTTATGCTCTTTAGGTGTGTGTGTGTGTGTGTGTGTGTGTGTGTGTGACTAGTTTGTTTATTATGTGTCATCATATTGTGGTGTGCTAGGGACAAGTTTGGCAGCAGATCAAGCTAACGTGTATACGGTTATGGATGTTGAATAGTTGTGGTTGTGTTGGGGTCATAATATGACTTGAATGTTCTCAGGTGTGCTACAGGTGAGGTGTGGCAGGAGATCATGCTGGCATGTCTGCCAGGGAAGCTGTGTGACTCAGAGTCAGACTACAACCCTGGAGAGGAGAGAACCTGTGGCAGCGGATTCGCTATTATCTACTTCATCAGCTTCTACATGCTCTGCGCCTTCCTGGTACACACACACACATTCACACAGCATGTAGACACACGCATGCACACACACATACAGTCTTGTACAGCTAACCTTGTGGGGACACACAATTCAGTCCCATTCAAAATCCTATTTTCCCTAACCCCTAAACCTAACCCTAACCCGTACTCTTACCCTTACCCTCACCCTAACCTTAACCCATAAACTTAACCTAACCTTAACCCTAAACCTAACCCTAGCTCCTAACCCTAAAACTAACCCTAGCTCCTAACCCTAACCCTTAACATAATTCTAACCCAAACACTAATTCTAACCTTAACCCTAAACCCCCTAGAAATAGCATTTGATCTTGTGGGGACTAAGAAAATGTCCCCAGTAGTTGACATTTTTGTTGGTTTACTATTCTTGTGGGGACTTCTGGTCTACACTAGCATAGTTAAACACGTCTACTGAGTGTCTTACTACCTCTGTTCCAGATCATCAACCTGTTTGTTGCTGTCATCATGGATAACTTTGACTATCTGACGCGTGATTGGTCCATTCTGGGCCCTCACCACCTGGATGAGTTTAAAAGGATCTGGTCTGAGTACGACCCTGAGGCTAAGTGAGTCTGCATTACCATCTGGACACACACACACACACACACACACACACACACACACACACACACACACACACACACGCACACACACACACACATGAAAAAAGTACTCAATTGTCATACTTGAGTAAAAATACCTTCATAGAAAATGAAAAGGTGAAAGTCACCCAGTAAAATATTACTTGAGTAAAAGTCTAAAAGTATCTGGTTTTAAATGTAAAAAAAAGTGCTATCTAAAACCTAAAAAGGTTATTCGACTGTCCCCATAGGAGAACCCTTTGAAGCACCCTTGTTGGTAGAACAGTTTTTCCACAGAGGATTCTACATTGAACCCCAAATGGTTCTACTTGGAACCAAAAAGGGTTCTCCTATGGCCGAAGAACTCTTTTGGAACCCTTTTTTCTAAAAAGTACTCAATTGTCCTAATTGACTAAAAGTTAAAAGTCAAAGTAAATGCTATACATCAAATTCCTTATATTAAACAAAACAGACGGCACAATTTTCTATTAAATTTTTTTTTATGGACAGTCAAGGGGACATTCCAACACTCAAACATAATTTACAAACACAGTATTTGTGTTTAGTTAGTCCACAAGATCAGAGGCAGTAGGGATGACAACGTGTTATATTAATAGGATTGTGAATTAGTGTTAGGGTTAGAATTACGTTAAGGTTTAGGGTTAGGAGCTAGGGTTAGTTTTAGGGTTAGGGTTAGGTTTTTGGGTTAAGGTTAAGGTTAGGGTTAGGGTTAAGGTTAGGGTGAGGGTTAGGGTTATTGCTGTCCTGCCTGAGCATTCGAAATGTAACAAGTATTTTGGGGTGTCAGGGAAAATGTATGGAAGTAAAAAGTACATATTTTCTTTAGGAATGTAGTGGAGTAAAAGTAAAAGTTGTTAAAAATATAAATAGGAAAGTACAGACAAATTACTTAAGTAGTACTTCAAAGTATGTGTTACTTTCAGGGGTGTGTTGGTTTCAGGAGTGTGTTGGTTTCAGGAGTGTGTAGTTTTCAGGAGTGTGTTGCTTTCAGGAGTGTGTTGCTTTCAGGAGTGTGTTGCTTTCAGGAGTGTGTTTCTGTCTCTTTCAGGGGCAGGATAAAGCATCTGGATGTGGTCACCTTGCTAAGACGCATCCAGCCTCCTCTAGGCTTCGGCAAGCTGTGTCCACACAGAGTGGCCTGCAAGGTGTGTTTATACACCCACACAAACACACACATTATATTCAACACACAGCACAAACATTACACACACATGTTACACAAGGTGTTCATATTGTGGGCTCAATCTTGCCCTGGTTAACTCATGTGTTGCATAACCTTAACTCCTTTCAGAGACTGGTTGCCATGAACATGCCCCTGAACAGTGATGGCACGGTCATGTTCAACGCCACCCTGTTTGCCTTGGTGAGGACCGCTCTGAAGATCAAGACCGAAGGTGAGCAGTCCGGTCATCGCAGCAGCAGCTGCTGTGGACATTCACTTTTGAGGATAGGCGAGCTTGGCATATTACACCAACTTTATGGTAGGGGATTTAGTACTGCCTGTAGCCACAAGAGGGTGCTGCTGGGGGTTAACACAGTGATGATGTCTGAATGAGGACATACAGTCTGGGACACAATCATCATACAGTTTCTCAGAATGTACTCAAAATACTCTTATACAGTGGCCTGCTCAATGGCTGTTTTGATTGGTCCAAAACATTGACCAAGTGTTTGTTTCCTAGGCAACCTGGAGCAGGCCAATGAGGAGTTGCGAGCGGTCATCAAGAAGATCTGGAAGAGGACCAGCATGAAGCTGCTGGACCAAGTGGTGCCGCCCGCAGGCGGTCAGTAGAATGGCTCCAGTCTCTGTGATGTCTGTCCACAGTAACTGGACAGTAGATGTGCCGTTACCTCATGGCTAGCCTTGTTACAGAGAGGTGGCAGACTGCCCTGCACACCCACACATGCTCATTTGGGATGTACACTTTAAACATACAAATGCGCTGTGCAAATGCACATGCATAAGCAGTGATCAGGGTGGCGATCCTATGCTCCAGGCTGACCTGCAACAAAGCTTTCCCTCAGCAGTGGTATTACACATAATACATTCATGGGACTTGTTGCATAGAGGTACATGGATTGCTAACAGTATATGTTCTTTGGTTATTAGCAGTCACACATTGAGAATAAAATCATTCATTGACATTAGGGATCCATTGCCTTACTGACCTTCTAGTGAAACAGTTTGCTTTGACTAATTATTGACAGGCAGTTGAGTCCTCTCTTCCTGGTTTCATGTGTCAATAGCTGTTAAAGCCTAGTCGTTTGACCACAGATAAGAGCAGGATCAGATAAAGGAGCAGACAGTCACTTCAGTTCAGAGAAACTCACCTTATCTCACTCTATCTTTCCATCCACGCAGAGTGTGCTCATATCAAAGGTCAAATAGGGGGTGCTTATATTTGTCCTGTTTCACACATGTACAAGTCTGTGGCCTGTACAAGTGTGTTGCATACACTCTCAGAGAGTGGGGTTACAGCCAGGGATCAGCCATTATTGATGGCGTTCCTGCATATGCTAACTGCAGCCTGACTCTGGGGCTCCCTATTGATAGTCAGGCCAGGTTCAATCTGATATGATACCCTATTCACTTTATTGTGCACTTAGTAGTGTACTTTATAGGAAGGGAATATGGTGGCAGTTAGGATGCAGACTCACAGCACCCATGTGTTTCTGTGCAATGCCATGCTCAACTGTTTTGCTGTGTATTCTTTTGTTGTCTCACACTTGGTTGTCCTGGGCCGTACTGTACTATACAGTCTGTAGTGTCATGCTGTGTCATGCTGTGTTGTACTGTGTTGATGTTGACCAACCTGTGATGTTTTCACTGTTCCCTAGTTTGCTGCAACCCACCCTTATTTTTTGTATTCATTTTATTTACCTAGTTGTCCTTTGCTGCACTATGCTTTGTGATTTAGCTCTGATGCTTTAGCTCTGATGCTTGGCTCCGATGCTTTAGCTCTGATGCTTGGATCTGATGCTTTAGCTCTGATGCTTGGCTCTGATGCTTGGCTCTGATGCTTTAGCTATGATGCTTGGCTCTGATGCTTGGATCTGATGCTTTAGCTCTGATGCTTGGCTCTGATGCTTGGATCTGATGCTTGGCTCTGATGCTTGGCTCTGATGCTTGGCTCTGATGCTTTAGCTATGATGCTTGGCTCTGATGCTTGGCTCTGATGCTTGGATCTGATGCTTGGCTCTGATGCTTGGCTCTGATGCTTTAGCTCTGATGCTTGGCTCTGATGCTTGGCTCTGATGCTTTAGCTCTGATGCTTTAGCTATGATGCTTGGGATCTGATTCTTGGCTCGTTCTAGCACTGCATGCTCTGCTATAACTACTAACTCCTCTTGTTCTCTCTCTCTCTTTCTGGCTAAGCTTCTCTTCTCCACAGCTTTCCCTCCTCCTCTCCCTCTTCTTCCGTAGTCTCTTTCCCTCTCTCTGCCGCCCGGAATTTCCTGCAGCAGTTCTGTTTTTGGCCGGTGGCATGGAACTATTGTTCTCTCTCTCTCCTGTGTCTTATGTCCCCAGTCTGCTTACTAACTAGCTGAGTGACACCGATCGCTGCTTCCTCTGTTCTGTACTGCTTCCCTGGCCTGCGCATCGCTTTTGACAGCTTAGATACACTCGTCTCTCTGCTGTATACTTCTTGTTAGATGCTTCTAACTGTGGCGGTATCCCTGTACTGTAGCTAGCTAAGCCTTAGGTAATAACATCAGTACTGTAGTTGGATGTGTAGCTAGCTGTGTGGTAGACTTTAGTCAGATGTGATTGTGAATATAAGGTTGTGGTTGGTTTGATAGGAAACAAACGTTGCACCGCTTCATCTCATGACTGTATTGAGTTGAGGCTAGTGTCTCTTTGCTAGTTTAAAATTCTACGTTTCAGAACTGTTGATATTTTGATAATGCCAGAGACTCTCTAGTGGGTAGAGCTGCTGATGTTGTTTTGAGAGGTCTGGTGGGCTGATATTTTGCTGGCTGTTTCTGATGGCTGTCTGTCAGAAGGTCAGGCCTGTGCTCGGCTATGTTCTCTGTCACCACAGATGTACAGGTCCAGGAAGAAAGCTGAGAAGCTGCTGATTCTATCACACTGGTCTGGTAGACACCAAACTGCAGTGTAGAGCTTGGTTAAAGTCCCATGCATTTTCAGCTTTTTTATGAATCTTTGATACGTTATATGCCACAGACTGCTTTGCACAAAGTTTGGTGATCCCTATAAAGTCAGCTACCGTGCTAAAGAATAATGGGTTATACGGTGCGTGATGGCGTGGTGCGGTGCTGACAGTGGAGGCGTTTGTGTGGTCTGTTCACTCAGATGATGAGGTAACCGTGGGGAAGTTCTATGCTACCTTCCTGATACAGGACTACTTCAGGAAATTCAAGAAACGCAAAGAGCAAGGCCTGGTGGGAAGAAACTCATTCACCAGCCTGAACTCCACCATCGCCCTCCAGGTGAGTCTCAACTGCTGTACTGTTCTGTACTGGACTGTACCATTTGACCTCCTCTAAGGTTGTCAACACTAACAAAACTCCACTATTATGGCCAATCTGTATGTAACACAAGTCAATATATTTTAACTGCAGATACCTGTAGAACTCAAAAGATAATAACCTTTGAAACAACAACTGATGACATGACTTACAAACCCAAATATGGGTGCTATTTTAGTAAGATAATAACACATTGATAAGGGTAAACAATATGTAACTGCTAGTTTGCGATAAATCACACTGAGTAGTGCTTTGCCCAATCACCACTGGACATCGGCAAAGCAGCAGGCCACTGCGTCTGAACAAACACAATGCTGCTTCCCTGGCCTGCACTTTGCTATTTCACCTCTGGCCATGCTAACAGCTACAGACTATCCCCTTTCTTATCCACTTCTAGTGATAATGAGAGATAAAGAGAACAACATATCTATAGCTTTACAAAGCACCTCAGTATGTCTGGTCTGAAGGTCTTTGTGTGTACTGTATGTGTCTGACCTTATGCTTCAGTTCATATATGTGTGTGTGTGTATTCTTCAGTTGTGCGCATGTGTTTGTGTTCCTCCCGGCGCTCAGCTGCTCTCTTGTCGTCGTTGCAGGCTGGCCTTCGCACACTGCATGATATTGGGCCTGAAATCCGCCGAGTCATATCATGTGACCTGCAAGACGAGGGCCTTGTAGACATTAACGCAGAAGAAGACGACGAGATTTATAGGGTAAATCACTGTCCCAGTTCATTCAATAAGTGTGCTCGACACGTTCAGAGGGCAGGGTTCGCTTTTTACAGCCAATGGAATGGTCCCAAATTCAGTTTATGTGGTTGCTGGGTGAGCTAAATCAAGTGACTATTAAAACAGGTCCTTTGTTGGCGTATGGTTTGGGAAAAGCTTGCTTGCCTGTTAGGGACTGCTTGTTCATAGTGTGCTTGTTAGTAGTAGGTGAAGTTTGCTGAGGGAGATCATGGCAAATAAAAGAGAGCTAGGTTACATACGCTTAAACCGACGCAGCTGTCATCATGTTAATTGACTCATAACTAAATGTCAAAGATCTTTACATTGTTATCTTTCAACTGGTCTCAACAAGACTTGATTCCTTTCTGCAAATCATACACCAGCCTGGTCTCATAGACTAGACATAACATAGTAAACGTAAATCTGGGACACTCAAATAAGTATGACATGTTACATTTGGTATGGTTACATAAGACAGAAGGTTACTTAAGGCAAAAATGAAAGGAGGGTGGTTGGTCGGGGTTGGCGTATTATGTGAACGTCTAGCAACCCAAAGGTTGCGTGTTTGAATGGCATCATGGACAACTTTAGCATTTTAGCTAATTAGCAACTTTGCAACTACAGTACTTACTACTTTTTAGCTACTTTGCAACTACCTAGCATGTTAGCTAACCCATTCCCTAACCCTAACCTTAACACTTTAACCTAACGTGACTCGTGACCCGGGTTCACTTCCTGCTCCCTCCATTCGATACAATAACACTCATATTGCCTGTGAACCCAGAGCATACAGATGACAGAGTTGTTCAACCCAGTGGTTTTTAAAGTCAGTCCTCTTTCATAGCATGTTTTGCACAAAAACCTTCACTAAATGCACGGTTAATTTTATACTTTCATTATCTGTTTAGCATAATTTAGTGAAGTTTGGAATGAAGACCTCAATGACAAAGTGCCCTACCACCAGGACAGACCCAAAGCCAGTGGTTAAGTTTAATCACTGTGTTATTATGGTCATGTGTACTGTCGGTTCTGACCGGAGTGTTGTCTCTACAGAGAAACGGTGTGATCTTCTCCAACCACACCAATCACGTTAGCGGGGACCACCGGGGTTCCGCCCACCAGACTAACGTCACTCAGCGGCCCCTTCAGGTCCCACCTCCTTCCTGTCACGCCTCTGTGGAGCCCTCCCAGGTCGGCTCTGAGGAGAGGGCAGGCGACCCCCACTGCTACAACCACTACTACCCCAAATCCCCCATATCCTCCAACGCCAACCTTAACAATGCCAACGTGCCCGCTGTTCCCTCCTTGACCAACGGGGGGCAGCGCCGCTGTCTCCACCGTGAGCACCCGTCTGCTAATGGGGCACTCTCCTCCAGCTCACACCGCAAGATTGTTGACTTCGACACCCACACCACGGTCCAATCTGCAAGGTAACTTAAGATGCTGCTTTCTTGGCTAGGTCTCTCTGGTAAAATAGGTCTCTTGACCCCAATTAGACTTCCTGGTTAAGTAAAAGTTAGATAATATTATGGTTCTCTCCATCTTTAATGCAGTAGTCATTGAATGCTGGTAATGAACTAGTTGATTATTTTAGGTGTGATTTCATGTGTGATGAGCACACTGGTTACCTGCTTGCGTAATGTCTAGGAGCTGTGGAGCTCCAGTGGTGTAAAGGACTTAAGTAAAAATACTTTAAAGTACTACTTAAGTCGTTTTTGGGGGTATCTGTACTTTACTTTACTATTTATATTTTTGACAACTTTTACTTTTACATCACTACATTCCTAAAGAAAATAATTTACTTTTTACTCCATACATTTTCCCTGACACCCAAAAGCAGGACAGACATTTTTTCCAATTCACACACTTATCAAGAGAACATCCCTGGTCATCCCTACTGCCTCTGATCTGGCGGACTAACTGAACACACATACTTCGTTTGTAAATGAGTGTTGGAGTGTGCCCCTGGCTAGCCGTAAACAAATATTTTTAAAATGGTGCTGTCTGGTTTGCTTAATATAAGGAATTTTAAATGATTTATACTTTTACTTTTGATACTTAAGTATAATTGAGCAATTACAGTACATTTACTTTTGATACTTAAGTATATTTCAAACCACGTACTTTTAGACTTTTACTAAAGTAGTATTTTACTGGGTGACTTTCACTTTTACTTGAGTCATTTTCTATTATGGTATCTTTACTTCTACTCAAGTATGACAATTGGGTACTTTTTCCACCGCTGTGGAACTCTATTAGAGGAACCCCATGACAACAGATGTGGATCTGAATAGGGCGTTTGTGTTTTGAAATTGTTGCCCCCATCACATCCTCACCACACCTCACCATTTCCTTCACATATCCTGGCCTTCCATAGAATGGATCTTTTCAGCACCATTAATTCTTGCACCACAAGGGTCTCTATTCAATCTGCATCGCTGAAGCATTACAGATTGCACGATAGAAATGTTAAAGTAATTTCCGATTTAGCCGACATATGCAGCGTTTACCGTGAATGCTAACGCTGGAACTTTGCCTTTCAATTTCAATCACACTGTAACGATGAACTTCAGCGATACAGATTGAATAGAGCCTAAGAGCTCTTTGTGTCGAAATCCTGGAATTGTGTGTATTTATCAGCAACACACACACACACTCCAGACCCATTCATTCATGACTACCTGACCTCACCACTCCCGGTTTCCTCTGTATCCATCCACCTACCTTTCTCATTCATCACAATACGTTATATCATCCAGACCATCTCTTACTGTAGGCTGAATCATCACCACATCTACTGTACACACGTATGATAAATAGATAGAATGTTACCTGTGGTGTTACTTCTATGATGTTTCACCCTTTTTGGTGGTCATGTTTATTGTTTTATATGTCTTGGATTATTATTTCTGTTTGTCTCACATTACGGATTGTGTCTTGTCTTTGTCATTGCATGCCCTTCTCCTCACCTGTCCCAAATACAAATTCCCTTCACCACCACTTGCTTGCTTGGACAGGAGGTGCTACTATGAGACCTACATTAGGTATGTGTATGAAACTATCACCGCTTAATGACTCCAATCTTTCCTTGGTTTATAATGAGCTGTGAGCAACACCCCCCAAAACATGAATGATATACTATTGTTTACAGTTGTAAACCATTTGATGAATTCATCTGTATCTTCTTTCAAATGCAGAGCTTTAGTCTGTGATCTGTATGTACAGTGTTTATACAGTGTGTTCAAACCTTTTCCTCAATCCCCCCTCTTCTGGTTGAACTTTGACCTTTTGACCTCAGGTCAGAATCAGGGGGTGTTCTGTACCCCACGATTCGCAGAGAGGAGCCAGGGGGGGCAGACAGTGATGATGACAGGGGCTCTGGAGAATACTTCAGTGGGGAGGAGTACCAGGAGGATGATATCATGTTGCACAAAAACAGGTATCACCATGGAAACCACTATGTACTGTACTGTTCCTGCTGTTGACAAGGTGGTTGTTTATTGATGATGTTGTTGTTCAGGATGTCCCATAAGGAGTATCAAGACCATCAAACTGACTTTGACACAGAGGCGTCCAGGGATTACCATCAACCGGACAGTCTCTATGATGACGACCAGCAACCCATTTACCAGGATGGTGGGCGGTCGGCGAAACAACGGTTGCTCCCCTCTACATCCCACGGTGAGGCCCCTTGGTCACTGATTGGCTGATAAAGAGGATGATGTAACACTCAAATGTAATACGACCCATATCTGTAACTAAAAGGTGTCTCTCTTGTGTTTAAACCTATAGCCCTCCACAGACCCTCATTCAACTTTCATTGTCTGCGGAAACAAAGCAGTCAAGACGATGACATCCCCTTGACCCATTCCATTCCCCATCGAACAGCTCTACCCCTGCATCTGATGCAGCAGCAGGTAGGTACCACTGAACCAAACACACACAACCAAACTGATGCTTACCCTTATATGCACCAAAATATGCTAGACATGACTCACTACACATACAATATGTATCACTCTTCATTTAGGCAATATAATAAAGGTATGTGTATGGTTTGACCCCCTTTAACCCCTTCATTAATCTGTTGCCTAGGTGATGGCGGTGGCTGGCCTGGACTCCAGAAGAGTCCAGCGTTTCTCTCCACCACGCTCTCTACGCTCCTGGGCCACACCCCCAGTCTCCCCCATCAGCAGGGACCACTCCCACTACTACACACCCCTCATCCAGGTGTGTGTGTGTGTGTTTGTGTTGGAGTGTGGTAAGCAATGGCTTACCACACTCCAACAAGGCCTCCTGTAGCTCAGTTGGTAGAGCATGGCGCTTGCAACGCCAGGGTTGTGGGTTCGATTCCCGAGGGGGGCCAGTATGAAAAATGTATGCACTCACTAACTGTAAGTCGCTCTGTATAAGAGCGTCTGCTAAATGACGTAAATGTATATTGAGAGATACTGTACATATATGAATGTAAATGTGTTGATTCATGTGTCTGTATATATCCAGGTGGACTGGCGTGGGCTGAGCAGTGTGAGTAGCACCCCTTGCTCTGTGAGAAGGAGCTCCTGGTACACTGACGCCCCAGAAGCCCCCCTAAGCCGTACCTACTCCCCCTCACAGCTCCAGATCCCACCAGAGTACCGCAGGCATTACCACCAGAAGAGAGGCAGTGCTAACAGCCTAGTGGAGGCTGTGAGTAGCCCTGACACACACACACACACACACACACTACACTTTGATTGATTGACTGATCGAATGACTGATTTTCCCCTCTGTAATGTTTCAGGTGTTGATTTCAGAAGGACTGGGGAAATACGCCAAGGACCCCAAGTTTGTGGCAGCAACGAAGCACGAGATCGCGGACGCCTGCGAGATGACCATCGACGAGATGGAGAGTGCCGCCAGCAACCTGCTGAACGGCAGTGTGGGTAATGGGGCAGCGGCCACGGACACAGTGACTGCCTCGAGCCTCAGGGACCGTAATCTCCATGACTACAGTGATGAGGAGCCGGACACGAGTGGGAAATGCGAGGAGGATTTGACTGATGAGATTATATGCATCAGCACCCTATAGCAGTCACTCACACTAGACACAGGCTGAATCTGACATGGCATCTTATTCCCTATAGTGTGCTTCTAGTGCACTATATAGGGAGAGATGTGCCTTTTGGATGCAGCCAACAACCATACAAACAAGGGAACAAAGTGCCTTTCTTTCTGTGGAATGAATGGATGGAAACACTGCCAGCTGAAGAGGAGGGGAGGGATGGAGGGACACGCTAAGGATCCAACTTCAGAGGAGTCCCGCCCCTTCCTCTCTGTCTGTTTTGCAGCACCGACTGAAACAGTGTGTGAGATATAAGAAGGGGTTGTCCCAAAGGGGATGCAGTAATGCTGGGTTTCCTCCTCAACGACTTCATAGAGAAATCACATATCAGTGAAATTAAGTTCCAATCCTCAGGCATATCCCCCCCCCCCTCCCGTTTGCCTTACCCTCTGCACAAAGATACTAAGAGTAGTCAATCATAGATGGAGAGTGGCGGCCATTTTACAGACCGCGTTTTGAAACTGTGAACAACCAACATGAGAAAACAGTGTACTCCAATAACACAAACACTCCTGCCCAACCAATCAATCTTCAGGGATGACTTAGCAGCCATTTTGTTTTAATGAAAGGAAAAGCTATTAAGTTGTAGATATATTTTAAACCCTCTAAGAAAAATCAACTATTTGAAAGAGTTACTTTATATTTAGTTATTTATGGATCGTTACAGGTAAACATTATCTTCCCCATGCCTATGAAATAGATAAGTATAATTTTATTTGGAATTAATATTAAATTATATTTGAAGCCTTTTTTTCACTACTTTAAGGGGAATAATGTTGATTTAGAAGGAATATGATGTCAAAAAGAGCTATTTTCTCTGAAGTATACATACAGTGTGTTTCTACAGAAGTAGGGTTTGCCATTTACCAGTTTAGCTCACTGCCAACAGAAACTAGTAACGCCAGGGTAGTGGGTTCGATCCCCGGGACCACCCATATGTAAAATGTATGCACACATGACTATAAGTAGCTTTGGATAAAAGCGGCTTCTAAATGGCATATACATTTATTAGGACAACTAGGTACTATCATTGAAATGTGTTTCTGTCCTCTAAACCTTTATGTGCAATGAAAGGGATCTTTCAAAATAATAATAATAATAATAATAATATGCCATTTAGCAGACACTTTTATCCAAAGCGACTTACAGTCATGTGTGCATACATTTTTACGTATGGGTGGTCCCGGGGATCGAACCCACTACCTTGGTGTTCCAAGCGCCGTGCTCTACCAGCTGAGCTACAGAGGACCAAAAAACACCAAAAGGGAAAATATATGCTTTAAAGACACAGCTGTTGCCAATAAAGCTGTACGATTTAATATGCATTTTCCAAACGTGTAAAGTCAAGGTCAGCATAAACCTGGGTCACGTCTGGGATCTTTGTGAAATGGCGTCACGAAATGTAAATTCCTTGCTAATGGAATATTGTTTACAACTACTAGGGTTTCCTCAGCATAACTACCAGCTTTCTTTCGACACAGAACAATGCTCTCAGTTCAAGACGTGAATGGTGGAGGGCATGAAAGATGGCTGACAATAGTGATGGCCACTCTGTGGGTGTTTCGACTAGTGGGGTTAAAATCCTGACATACCGGTAATAATACCCACCGCATTAGAAGTTATATCACTGGTTCAAGTATATTTCAAATGTAATTAAGATGGTGAGACTGTACTTTCCCTGGGGCTGTGTATGTCGTTACGGAGACCATTGAGTCAGTGATTGGCCAAGTGATATGTTATGGTATATTCCACTAAATTAAATCATCTTTATTTATACTGTATGCCAATGATAAAAAAAGACAACATTGAAACAGACAAGGTTTGTTATATAACGTGCGCAATTCACAGCTTTATTTTTTGTACTACTTCTGTTTTAAAATATGCATTGAAATGTTCGTGGCAATGTTAAAACCTGTACAGAATGTGTAAATGAAGGTTCAAGTGATTCACTGTACTTGAAGATTTCTGCTTTCTAACCGCTAACGCTACAGCTAATTCCACTTTGTAGCAGATTAGATTTACCTTTAAATGTTACACTTTATTCTCTTGAATATTTGCCTGGAATTACACGGCTGATGATTTTCTAACGTTCACAACTGTATAAACTCTGTGCCACTCAATGCCTCCAGAGGACAGCATCTGTGCTCTACGTACTCAGAGGCAGGAATTAGCAAAACAATCAAATCTTACAAAAAGGTTTTCTAAAGAATATTATTTTCACAACCACAGCTGTTTGTGAGTCTGTGCTAAAATCTGGGTGCAAAGTGTTCATGTAAGGCCTAGATTCAGTCAGATCAAGGTCTCTATTCAATCAGATCCACTTTAGCCGACATCTACATAGTGGTTGTTTTGACGATGTTGGAGGTGGAACTGCGTTAGAAATGTCAAATCCACAAGCGGTCCTGGCATTATACCTAAAGCGGACATTGGCGTTGGTTGCATGGAGTCGCATTAACAGAAATCCCAGGCAGCCTTGTTTACAAGTTTACAAGTTTGTAATTTACACCTCCATTGGGATTATTTCGTTGAATGGTTTTTCAATTTGAGCTTCATTATTTCTATATAGCCTACACTTTCTGGTTCTGAACTTCTAACGCGACTGGGGCGGGTGTGGCTTCGTGACAATGATCACAAGAGCAGCTGCTCACCGATTTGACAGCTCCAACGCAGTTACACCTCCAACACTGCCAAAACATCAGCTATGCGAGTGTTGGCTATCGCCGGTTAACGCTTCATCTGATTTAATCTAGGCCCAAGATTACATCTCACATTCCAGTGTTCGAACTTGTGAACAAGGCTGTATGGGATTTCTCTTAATGTGACTCTGTGCAGCCAATGGCAATGTCTGTTTTAGGTATAATGCCGGGAGACACTTGTGGATTTGACACCTCTTAACACAGTTCCACCTCTGATGTCGGCTAAAGCTGATCTGATTTAGTAGAGCCTTAAGACTTCATTAAAACCTGAGTCACATTATTAAGGCTAGCATTAACATAATGGTTAATACTATGCAAGTGTATGAGAATACTACTGTACCATATTATTGCAGTTCTGTTGAAATGATCAATAGATTACCATAAGATTTATCATACCAAACATACTTCATTTAAGGCACTTCAATCAAGACAACATACTTCAAGGCACTTTCATGATTGGCAAGGCGACTCATGCGACTATCAAATGCTTAAATCCTTCAATAAAATCATCTTCAAATAATTGTAAACAGAAATGTAAGAATAATACCCAGAGAACTTGATCAAATCACATAAACTCACTGGGAAATGATTTAGTCTTTCCAAGGTTGATTACTGTTTCTGAATTCAGGTAACTACTTTTACCTAATGTTTACCACATAGAAATTGAATTATTTACTTAATCATTTATTATTTAGATTAAATGTCCATAGTGCAGTAAAACGGACTTCCCATCTCTAGTTTACATTTTACATTTTAGTAATTTAGCAGACGTTCTTATCCAGAGCGACCTACAGTTAGTGAGTGCATACATTTATTTTAATTTTTTTCATACTGGTCCCCCGTGGGAAACGAACACACAACCCTGGCGTTGCAAACGCCATGCTCTACCAAATGAGCTACACGGGACTATAGTTGTCTCTCATTATAAATGAAGAGAGGAGTTGGACAGAAAACCAGCATTATGAGAAAAGTAGGGAACACTGCAATCAACAGTGATTGTAGTATCTGCTGGTTAGCATGTCTTGGCACCTTATTGACTTCCAACGGAGCCTACTATACCTTTAAGATGCTGATTATTAAGTAATGATAAAAAGCAGCTGCCACATCTTTGAAGGTACAAGCTCTGCCAGAATTTTACACCAATGGATGGGTTAGACAATGAAAGGTTTATCTGTATTTCTGAAGCTGCTGTCTTTTTTTACATATATCAATAGTAAAAAACAGACAAACTTTTGACGTTAAAGACAGACGGACGGATGTGTACATGAATACTTAGCATCCACCTCTGTCTGTACAGGCCCTTAGGAGATGGTAACACCGCAGGTTCCACACGTCTGTGTGAAGCTCATCGCTGGGTCTCTAGAGATGCAGGCTGGTACACAGGCACCCCGGGGTTGCTGAGCGCTGGTCGCCCTCTGATGATGTCAGCAGCCTTCTCCGCGATCATAATGGTGGGGGCATTGAGGTTGCCGCTGACGACGCTGGGCATGATGGAGGCGTCGACCACACGGAGGCCTTCGAGTCCCAGCACCCGTGTCTCTGGGTCCACCACCGCCATTGGGTCAGATGGAGAACCCATCTTACACGTGCAGGACGGATGGTAGGCGCTGTCAGCCTTGCGACGCACAAATGCGTCAATCTCGGCGTCTGACTGACACTCAGGCCCCGGCTGTACCTCGGGCCCCCGGAATGGGTCGAAGGCCTTCTGGGCGAAGATCTCCCGAGAGAGCTTGACACACTCCCTGAACTCCCATACATCTATGTCTGAGGCAGAGAGGGGAGACACACAAGTCATTAACCACACTAGGCCTGTTTCCCAGAACCAGATTAAGCCTACATCTGGACTACAAATGAAGAGGCATTTTCAATGGAGATTCTTCCTTAAGCATGATTTTCTGTTTGGGAATAGGCTTAATCTGGGTCAGGGAAATAATCCATTCAGAGAATTGTGTTAGGTATGGTCTGGTGACAGTGTTCTAGGCAGAGCTTACCTGTTGAGAGGTAGTTGGGCTGGAGGATTGGGTGATCTAGAGGGCTGGCACTCTTCAACTTTAACCATCCAATACTAGTACTTCTCATTGGTCCCACGTGAACCTGTCACATCAAAACGGGCCAATCGGTTTCAGTATCAACATTAGTTCATATTTTAGAGACGTGACAGATTTAGCATGACAACAAACATAATGAGTTTGCTTAAAGCACAAGCTGATCTGCTAACAGGTTAAGGTTCATTGCTACTTCATGGGGAAATCCTAAGTACATGCGAGTGGGAACGTGTAGAAACTATAGTATATGGTAAATTATTGTAGTATCATTATGTCTCATCTAGGCTCAGTGGTACAGTTTCAGCAAATGTTTCTAGAAATGTTATAAATGTGACAATAACATTGCCCATTATGACCGAAGGCAGCAGTTGATAAAGTATTTACAACATTTCCATATAAATTGCAATAGGAACAATGGCTACAGATTCTGAGGAATTGGGATATTCAAACTACATGTGTGCCGTTGTTGCCCCCATTCAAAACAGAGGATTGGTTTAGGTAAAAAGGCACATAGAAAAGGTTCAATAAAATCCAAGTGCTGGTGATACAGTTCTTGCAAAATTCGCACACACACTTCAACTGCTACCACAAGCGTGAATGCATAACTTTGGGAATGCACTACATGTGCAGGTGTGAGTGGGAAACGCCTTTCGCAACATGCAGAGCCTTGGATGAATCAAAGCATGGACATAAGAGTGTTTAGCATGGAGAGATTTATCGGGTGTAAGGACACACACAAGTCCACACACACAGCTTACCTGGTAGGCTTCTATCTTGGAGGCGACGCGGCCGTGGTCGATGACCTGTGAAGGCAAGAAGTGGAACTGGATGTCGGGGTGGGCCACGCCCCCTCTGCTCCGGATGAAGCCCCCGCTCTCCAGGTGGGCCGTGGCCCCGTATCCTGGGAGGCAGGTGCCATGGTTACCGGGTTAAACGATTTGGATGCTACACGCAATTCTAATGAAATTACATATTCTGACAAAATAAAAACAGCCATCAGAACGTTCTCTTTTTTTCACTGGTGTGAAAAACCCTGTGTACTTGTTTGACCTGTGTACTTGTTTGACCTGTGTATTTGCTTAACTCGTGTAGCTTTGCTGTACTTGTTTGTTATACCTGTGTATTGGAGGAGCCACTCCAGGCCAATCTTGACCATGTGGAAAGGCTTCTGGGCCTTGTACAGGGTGATGGGTTGAGTGCACTGCTGCTGAACATACAGCTCCAGGTGGTCCTGAAGATTACTGCCCACTCCTACAGTTAGGAACATATGCAGACACACACACAGGTACACAAGTCAACATTATGTAATGACATTTAAAAAAAAACACAAACATAGTACTACTCTCCCCAACTTGAACACACATACACAACCATGCACACACACACCCTGTATATTTTATCATGAGTTAATGTCCTTGAGCTTTGCCACAGCTGCTTTAATTTATTCTTTTTTGTTCTGTTTTAATAACTCACTGACTTCTTTGGAAACTTGCCTCATTGGGAATGTCTTACTATGAAACCTAACAGACTTTAGTTGTATTGTTCTTTAGTCGTAGTGTTCTTAGTTGAAATGTGTTGCTGTTCTTGTCCATTAGTGTTCTGTATTTTCAGGGTGGGGGTCATTAGGTCACCTGGTAGATGCTGGACCACAGGGATGTCTAGCTGTTTCAGGTCATCAGCGTTGCCCACCCCGGACAGCATGAGAAGCTGTGGGGAGTTGATGGCCCCACCACTGAGAATCACCTCCTTTTCAGCAAACACCTGAGAGAGAGAAGAGAGAGATGAAGAGAGAGATCTGAGAGGGGATATACAGTGAGGGAAAAAAGTATTTGATCCCCTGCTGATTTTGTATGTTTGCCCACCCACAAAGAAATGATCAGTCTATAATTTTAATGGTAGGTTTATTTGAACAGTGAGAGACAGAATACCAACAAAAAAATCCAGAAAAACGCATGTCAAAAATGTTATAAATTGATTTGCATTTTAATGAGGGAAATAAGTATTTGACCCCCTCTCAATCAGAAAGATTTCTGGCTCCCAGGTGTCTTTTATACAGGCAACGAGCTGAGATTAGGAGCACACTCTTAAAGGGAGTGCTCCTAATCTCAGCTTGTTATCTGTATAAAAGACACCTGTCCACAGAAGCAATCAATCAATCAGATTCCAAACTCTCCACCATGGCCAAGACCAAAGAGCTCTCCAAGGATGTCAGGGACAAGATTGTAGACCTACACAAGGCTGGAATGGGCTACAAGACCATCGCCAAGCAGCTTGGTGAGAAGGTGACAACAGTTGGTGCGATTATTTGCAAATGGAAGAAACAAAAAAGAACTGTCGATCTCCCTCGGCCTGGGGCTCCATGCAAGATCTCACCTCGTGGAGTTGCAATGATCATGAGAACGGTGAGGAATCAGCCCAGAACTACACGGGAGGATCTTGTCAATGATCTCAAGGCAGCTGGGACCACAGTCACCAAGAAAACAATTGGTAACACACTATGCCGTGAAGGACTGAAATCCTGCAGCGCCCGCAAGGTCCCCCCCTGCTCAAGAAGCAGGGGGGGGTCCTCCCGGCTCGGTCCTCCCCCCCAGCTCCGTGGCTTGATGACTCACTGCGAGCTCACAGAACAGAGCTCCGGGCAGCGGAGAGGAAATGGAAGAAAACTAAACTCCCTACCGACCTGGCATCTTTTCACTCCCTCCTCTCTACATTTTCTTCATCTGTTTCTGCTGCTAAGGCCACCTTCTACCACTCTAAATTCCAAGCATCTGCCTCTAACCCTAGGAAGCTCTTTGCCACATTTTCCTCCCTCCTGAATCCTCCTCCCCCCCCCCCCCACCTCCTCTCTCTCTGTGGATGACTTCGTCAACCACTTTGAAAAGAAGGTTGACGACATCCGATCCTCGTTTGTTAAGTCTAATAACACTGCTGGTCCTGCTCACACTGCCCTACCCTATGCTTTGACTTCTTTCTCCCCTCTCTCTCCAGATAAAATCCTGCGACTTGTGACTGCAGGCCGCCCAACAACCTGCCCGCTTGACCCCATCCCCTCCTCCCTTCTCCAGACCATCTCCGGTGACCTTCTCCCCTACCTCACCTCGCTGATCAACTCATCCTTGACCGCTGGCCATGTCCCTTCCGTCTTCAAGAGAGCGAGAGTTGCTCCCCTCCTCAAAAAACCAACACTCGACCCCACTGATGTCAACAACTACAGACCAGTATCCCTTCTTTCTTTTCTTTCCAAAACTATTGAGCGTGCCGTCTTTAGCCAACTCTCTTGCTATCTCTCTCAGAATGACCTTCTTGATCCAAACCAATCAGGTTTCAGGACTGGTCATTCAACTGAGACTGCTCTTCTCTGTGTCACGGAGACTCTCCGCACTGCTAAAGCTAACTCTCTCTCCTCTGCTCTTGTCCTTCTAGACCTGTCTGCTGCCTTTGATACTGTGAACCATCAGATCCTCCTCTCCACCCTCTCCGAGATGGGCATCTCCGGCGCGGCTCACTCCTGGATTGCGTCCTACCTGACCGGTCGCTCCTACCAAGTGGCGTGGCGGGAAGCTGTCTCCGCACCACGTGCTCTCACCACTGGTGTCCCCCAGGGATCGGTTCTGGGCCCTCTCCTTTTCTCCCTATACACCAAGTCACTTGGCTCTGTCATATCCTCACATGGTCTCTCCTATCATTGCTACGCTGACGATACACAACTAATCTTCTCCTTTCCCCCTTCTGATAACCAGGTGGCGAATCGCATCTCTGCATGTCTGGCAGACATATCAGTATGGATGACGGATCACCACCTCAAGCTGAACCCTGGCAAGACGGAGCTGCTCTTCCTCCCGGGGAAGGACTGCCCGTTCCATGATCTCGCCATCACGGTTGACAACTCCGCTGTGTCCTCCTCCCAGAGTGCGAAGAGCCTAGGCGTGACCCTGGACAACACCCTGTCGTTCTCCGCCAACATCAAGGCGGTGACCCGCTCCTGCAGGTTCATGCTCTACAACATTCGGAGAGTGCGACCCTGCCTTACACAGGAAGCGGCGCAGGTCCTGGTCCAGGCACTTGTCATCTCCCGTCTGGACTACTGCAACTCGCTGTTGGCTGGGCTCCCTGCCTGTGCCATTAAACCCCTACAACTCATCCAGAATGCCGCAGCCCGTCTGGTGTTCAACCTTCCCAAGTTCTCTCACGTCACCCCCCTCCTCCGCACACTCCACTGGCTTCCAGTTGAAGCTCGCATCCGCTACAAGACCATGGTGCTTGCCTATGGAGCAGTGAGGGGAACGGCACCTCTGTACCTTCAGGGTCTGATCAGTCCCTACACCCAAACGAGGACATTGCGTTCATCCACCTCTGGCCTGCTGGCTCCCCTTCCTCTGCGGAAGCACAGCTCCCGCTCAGCCCAGTCAAAACTGTTCGCTGCTCTGGCACCCCAATGGTGGAACAAGCTCCCTCACGACGCCAGGACAGCGGAGTCACTCACCACCTTCCGGAGACATTTGAAACCCCACCTCTTTAAGGAATACCTGGGATAGGATAAAGTATTCCTTCTAACCCCCCCCCCCCCCCCCCAAATTGTAAAGTGGTTATCCCACTGGCTATAGGGTGAACGCACCAATTTGTGAGTCGCTCTGGCTAAGAGCGTCTGCTAAATGACGTTAATGTGCCCTTGAGCAAGGCACTTAACCCTAATTGCTCCTGTAAGTCGCTCTGGTTAAGAGCGTCTGCTAAATGACTAAAATGTAAATGTAAATGTAATCCTGCAGCGCCCGCAAGGTCCCCCCCTGCTCAAGAAAGCACATATACAGGCCCGTCTGAAGTTTGCCAATGAACATCTGAATGATTCAGAGGAGAACTGGGTGAAAGTGTTGTGGTCAGATGAGACCAAAATCGAACTGTTTGGCATCAACTCAACTCGCCGTGTTTGGAGGAGGAGGAATGCTGCCTATGACCCCAAGAAAACCATCCCCACCGTCAAACATGGAGGTGGAAACATTATGCTTTGGGGGTGTTTTTCTGCTAAGGGGACAGGACAACTTCACCTCATCAAAGGGACGATGGACGGTGCTGTGTCCTTCCCTCAGCCAGGGCATTGAAAATGGGTCGTGGATGGGTATTCCAGCATGACAGTGACCCAAAACACATGGCCAAGGCAACAAAGGAGTGGCTCAAGAAGAAGCACATTAAGGTCCTGGAGTGGCTTAGCCAGTCTCCAGACCTTAATCCCATAGAAAATCTGTGGAGGGAGCTGAAGGTTCGAGTTGCCAAACATCAGGCTCGAAACCTTAATGACTTGGAGAAGATCTGCAAAGAGGAGTGGAACAAAATCCCTCCTGAGATGTGTGCAAACCTGGTGGCCAACTACAAGAAACGTCTGACCTCTGTGATTGCCAACAAGTGTTTTGCCACCAAGTACTAAGTCATGTTTTGCAGAGGGGTCAAATACTTATTTCCCTCATTAAAATGCAAATCAATTTATAACATTTTTGAATGCATTCTTCTGGATTTTTTTGTTGTTATTCTCTCTCTCACTGTTCAAATAAATCTACCATTAAAATTATAGACTGATCATGTCTTTGTCAGTGGGAAAATGTACAAAATCAGCAGGGGATCAAATACTTTTTTCCCTCACTGTAGGCTGTTGAATTTCCCAAAGACCTACCTGCTTCTTCTCCCCGTTCTGAGTGTACTCCACGCCTACAGCTCTCCTCCCATCAAACAGGATCCTGGTGGTCAGACATTGCACCTCTGTCCTCAGGTTGTCTCGGTTAAGGACCGGCCGCAGGTACGCACTGGCTGTGCTCCACCTCTTACCTTGGGGACAGGGAGGGTAGGAGAAGGAGAAAGAGGGGGATGAGAAGAAAAGAGATCAGTCCTTTTATAATGCAATTCCCTACTTCTTTTATCTTTACAGATACAGACATAAATTATGTGCATACACTGAATGTACAAAACATTAGGAACACCTTCCTAATATTGAGTTGCACCCCCCTGTTTGCCCTCAGAACAGCCTCTATTAGTTGGGGCATGGACTCTACAAGGTGTCGAAAGCGTTCCACAGGGATGCTGGCCCATGTCATGGAAAGAGTTCCTAATGTTTTGTACACTCGGTGTATGTGTGCATATCTACTATCCTACAGGTGTATCTTTAATTAATCCCCTACCTTTATAGATGGTCATGTCCATCCAGCCCAGGCCCTCCTGCTGAAAGCCGTTCATGTCGTCAGTGAAGGGGTACCCAGCCTGCTGGCCAGCCTCTATGAAGGCCCGGTGTAGTGGGTGGTCCGTCTTCCCCCGGGACACATGCAGGGGCCCGCTGCCTCCCCGGTACCGGTCTCCCCCCAGCTCGTGGCACTGGGCCTTGCGGAAGTAGGGCAGGCAGTGGTCGTAGTCCCAGCCTTCCGCCCCCTCCCTCTGCCAGCGGTTGTAGTCCTCAGCGTGGCCCCGGATGTACACCATGGCGTTGAGAGAGGAGGAGCCACCCCACACCCTGCCGCGGGGCCAGTACATCACCCGGTTGTTCACATGCTCCTGGGGCAGGGTGTGGTAGAACCAGTTGACCTTGTCATCACACAGGTTGTAGATGAGGGCGGCCGGCATGTGGATCTTCCAGGAGAGACGGACGTTGCCCAGGGTCATGTCCTTGGGGCCGGCCTCCAGCAGGAGCACTGACTCCTGGGGATCCTCCGTGAGACGGTTGGCCAGGACACAGCCCGCCGAGCCAGCGCCCACGATGACGTAGCTGAAGGATGGGGTGCTGCGTTTGGCTGCTGTGGTGCTGTACCTGGGAGAGGGGTCCCAGTCCCTCCTTCTGGTCAGGGCCATTGGGGACCCTCTTAACCAGGCTGACACACACCTGCCCACTCCCATCCCCATCCCCACACGGAGCCCAATTTTGCCTGACACAGCTGCAGAAAGCATCCTGATGGTTGTGGAATTCCTGTCCTCACTCACTTTTTGTCTTCCTCCAATGCGCAGACAACACCACAAATGCCAGTGCACACCTGCACAATAAAATACATTTTAAAAAATTTACATTTTAGTAGACGCTCTTATCCAGAGCAACTTACAGTTAGTGAGTGCATACATTTTCATACTGGCCCGCCGTGGGAAACGAACCCACAACCCTGGCGTTGCTAGCGCCATGCTCTACCAACTGAGCTACAGGGGACTACATCATGAATGAATATAAAATATGAAATGTTTTTTTGTGTGTAGAAAAAATAAGAGATGATTTCAAGCAAATCACTTCCGAGGTCAATTATATTATTTAAACGCTTGGAAAACGGAAGAATAGTGGAAAAGATATTGTAAACAACAGCACAACTCAAAGTCCATGCACTGCCTGTCACATGATGCGCACACGTTTGAGATTCTAGGAACAAGATGACACAATGAAAACATGATACAGTAGCCTACTTGTATCATATTGCTAGTCTAGTTGAATAATAGCACTGTACTGGGAGGGGGCTATAGCGGGAATTAACGCCTTCCTTCTCGAGTTTCAGTTTCAACATAGCAAACAACTTTAATCTCTCAAGAGAGAAACGTTTGCAACCTCAACTATACTTTCTGCAATAACGTTTTTTTGTACGTGTCAGTAAAAACACATATAATGTGTGTGTGTTGTTATTTTTTTAAATGCAGGCAATAAGACGATATAAAACTTTGGAGTGGGGTCACAGCAATGCAGAAAACAGAGAAGAAGTTTGCGAACTGTGGTTATGGTTGACACAAAGTGTCATTAAACCTCGCCCACATTATGTGGTAAAACATGGAAATAACGGTTGAAAAAAAAAAGGTTTACTTACCGTTATACTTGATCGCATCGACCTTTTCCTTTCAACTGTCACACTCTGCAAGAGAAGAGGGCGGAGTTTACTGTCCGTTTACGACGGGGCGCTTGATTTAGCTTGCAATGCGCGCCGGGAGAAGCAAAGTGGTAGCGGTCCCACAATGATCTGTCCTGCCCAATAACATATATAACATCTGGATGGCAGATGCTGTGTATTGGCCATTGAGAGGCTTTGAAGCCATCGGTCGGCCATATTGGCACTCCCTATTAGAAGCAGTCCGCCATAGGAATGAATGGAATTCCACAATATTTCAATTACATTTTTCAAGGACAAAATTACATGTATTTAAGGGTGCGTTCATAAATTCACTCTTGAGTGCCAGAGTATTCTCAGTGTGCGCTCTGGGCGTTCGTAAATTCAGAGCGTAGTCAGATTGTCCGTTCATAAATTCAGAGCATTTCGCTCTCAGAGCGTTCAGAACACACACTGGACACTCTGGGCAAGGAGTAGGGTTGATGCGAGCGTTCTGACCTCCCAACTGCAGTCAAGCACCCAAGCTAACTGGCTAACGTTGGCTAGCTTGCTAGCTACTTCCAGACACAAATGAGAGAACACTTCACTCTGACCATTTTACTAGCCCTAGCAGAGCTGGTTAGGCTTTTTTCATGTTATCTACAGCGTTGGTGACTGTAACTGTGCTGCTGGCAACAATTTAATTGTGCTTTTTGGCCGACCATAACGGCCATATTCAACGGGTTTCGAGCGTTCGTAAATTTGTCAGTTATTCTGCGGTCTGGCACACTCAGACGAGAGTGCTCTGAAATCGGAGTAGATAACCAGAGTGAATTTACGAACGCACCCTATTTTTCTTGTAGTGGGGACAGTAACATTGGTGGTTTAAGGAAAATGTTTTTATATATATGTATAGCTCACATAATATAATTTAAAAGTATGCATTAAGGTGGTTGTAATATAATAATCTAGTCCAAAAAGAATGTAGATATTAATAAATAAATTTCTATAGCTTCCAAAATATTTTTTTACAATTGAGGAGGAATGCCAAGATGGCTGTGGGGTGGCTTCAATACAGCGGCCCCTGTTAGTCATCCAGGGTTTATACACATCATTGGTCCTGCCATGGGACCCTGCAATCCAGAGCTCCGGGTGCCAAGGGGGACCTAATGGTACGTAGCCTATCCTCATATTTAACCAAAGGGTTCACAGAGTGAACGTCAGTAGGCAGACGGATTTGGGTCTCTCAAGAGTTTATTATAGGGCAGGCTCTTTCACGTGATATTTATTTTGCAACTACAGATTACTAAAGTTACATTCTTTTCAATCATGAGGACCTTGATATTGATTATATTCTCTAAATCGCTTACTGTTCAGCCATCATCCTCAATTCTAAGTTTTATTTATGCTGTAAAAAACAGGCACATTTTATGTGCAAAAGCTTTGATGCAAGATTAACCTTTTTAATTATTGTTCATTATGTAATCCACAGAGTGTTACTTGTGAGAAATTAGAAGATGGTGAGTTAGTCCAGGGATGGTTCACTCAGATTACAAAATATTTGTGTTCTCACCTTGAAGGTATGGACAAGGAGAAACTATAATCCACATATGCCAAATCAGTCTCTCTAGTACATAAACTGCTTCTAGACCCGCAAGGGGCACTATCGATGTTCGCTACATTGGTGTAAGAAGTGGGATGCTGTCAATAAATAATGGGGTATTTTTTTCCCCAAGGGATACCACCGGAATGGACAGAGATTCCTGAGGCCAGTCCTTCTCATCTGTGTGCACTTGAAGTTGCTCATCTGCCTGAAGACTGGGGGGCTATTCGGCTGAACATAAGTTGGGGCCATCAACATACAGTGAGGGAAAAAAGTATTTGATCCCCTGCTGATTTTGTTCGTTTGCCCACTGACAAAGACATGATCAGTCTATAATTTTAATGGTAGGTTTATTTGAACAGTGAGAGACAGAATAACAACAAAAAGATCCAGAAAAACGCATGTAAAAAATGTTATAAATTGATTTGCATTTTAATGAGGGAAATAAGTATTTGACCCCTCTGCAAAACATGACTTAGTACTTGGTGGCAAAACCCTTGTTGGCAATCACAGAGGTCAGACGTTTCTTGTAGTTGGCCACCAGGTTTGCACACATCTCAGGAGGGATTTTGTCCCACTCCTCTTTGCAGATCTTCTCCAAGTCATTAAGGTTTCGAGGCTGACATTTGGCAACTCGAACCTTCAGCTCCCTCCACAGATTTTCTATAGGATTAAGGTCTGGAGACTGGCTAGGCCACTCCAGGACATTAATGTGCTTCTTCCTGAGCCACTCCTTTGTTGCCTTGGCCGTGTGTTTTGGGTCATTGTCATGCTGGAATACCCATCCACAACCAATTTTCAATGCCCTGGCTGAGGGAAGGAGGTTCTCACCCAAGATTTGACAGTACATGGCCCCGTCCATCGTCCCTTTGATGCGGTGAAGTTGTCCTGTCCCCTTAGCAGAAAAACACCCCCAAAGCATAATGTTTCCACCTCCATGTTGGACGGGCGAGTTGAGTTGATGCCAAAGAGCTCGATTTTGGTCTCATCTGACCACAACACTTTCACCCAGTTCTCCTCTGAATCATTCAGATGTTCATTGGCAAACTTCAGACGGGCCTGTATATGTGCTTTTTTGAGCAGGGGGACCTTGCGGGCACTGCAGGATTTCAGTCCTTCACGGCGTAGTGTGTTACCAATTGTTTTCTTGGTGACTATGGTCCCAGCTGCCTTGAGATCATTGACAAGATCCTCCCGTGTAGTTCTGGGCTGATTCCTCACCGTTCTCATGATCATTGCAACTCCACGAGGTGAGATCTTGCATGGAGCCCCAGGCCGAGGGAGATTGACAGTTATTTTGTGTTTCTTCCATTTGTGAATAATCGCACCAACTGTTGTCACCTTCTCACCAAGCTGCTTGGCGATGGTCTTGTAGCCCTTTCCAGCCTTGTGTAGGTCTACAATCTTGTCCCTGACATCCTAGGAGAGCTCTTTGGTCTTGGCCATGGTGGAGAGTTTGGAATCTGATTGATTGATTGCTTCTGTGGGCAGGTGTCTTTTATACAGGTAACAAACTGAGATTAGGAGCACTCCCTTTAAGAGTGCGCTCCTAATCTCAGCTCGTTACCTGTATAAAAGACACCTGGGAGCCAGAAATCTTTCTGATTGAGAGGTGGTCAAATACTTATTTCCCTCATTAAAATGCAAATCAATTTATAACATTTTTGACATGCGTTTTTCTGGATTTTTGTTGTTGTTATTCTGTCTCTCACTGTTCAAATAAACCTACCATTAAAATTATAGACTGATCATTTCTTTGTCAGTGGGCAAACATACAAAATCAGCAGGGGATCAAATACTTTTTTCCCTCACTGTATAGGCATGGCAGTCCTCTCAGTCAGGTGTCTCCTTTGACCAAAATGATCACTAGACTGTGAGAACATGATAATACCAGTCTGATGACAAACCCAGAGCTTAAATAGTATTGTGAAAAAATTATACTGATTACAACTTTCTCTGACCATTAATAGCATCAATGGCTGTGCAAAAATAAGGGGATGCTAACTTTTCTCACTTAGCATTAAGATTACATTTTAAAGAATTATGTTATTTCTCCTAAAATATTTGTGTTTTGGAAATGAAACAAATATTCTGTGGCTTTGTAATTTTTATATAGTTATTAAATGTTTAATGTAAATAAATACTTTGATCTAACACTTTACTGTTCCAATATTAATGCATTAATGATTATAATTAATACAATACTACAATATGTTTTTTTCTTTAGAAAGCTTCACAGTACTATATTTTGTGTCAGATTTGCATTTTCACATGTTTTATGTGGAAAATCAGATCAAAGACATCCTGGTTTTTGGTATTTTTCGCTACATCAAAAACAGAATATGGGTTTCACATGCTGATAAATATGTTTGCTTTCCCCTGATTTATATGAACTAATAGGCAAGTATCCAAACCAGTATTAATAAACCATTTAGAATACATATACAATGCATTGCTTCATTCTGTGGTGTGCAGTAAGTAAAATCAAATCAAATCACATTTCATTTGTCATATACACGTGTTTAGCAGATGTTATTGCGGGTGTAGCGAAATGCTTGTGCTTCTAGCTCCGACAGTGCAGTAATATCTAACAAGTAATATCTAACAATTTCCCAACATATACCGAATACACACAAATCTAAGTAAGGAATGGAATTAAGAATATATATGTCACGGATTCTGCCGAGGCTGCTCCTCCTCCTGGTTCGGGCAGGCTTCGGCGTTCGTCGTCCCCGGAGTACTAGCTGCCACCGTTGAATGTTTCTATGTGTGATTGCTTTTGTCTGTCTGTCACACCTGTGTCCGTTTGTGTCTGATTACGTGTTCTATAAGTTGCCTGTGTTGTATTGGTTAGGTTGTGTGTTGTTTTTCGCCTGTCCGTAGTGCTGCGTGTTTTGTATCTGTTTATTTGTTTATTTGTTTTACGCATTGTTTGCGTATTGCTCGCCTCTGTTTTTTGAGGCTGTTTACTGTATCCTTGCCTGGTGGTTTTTCACAGTAAACTTTGTTGGACTAAGCTTCGGTGTCCTGCGCCTGACTTCCACACATCATACACCTCAGCCTTGACAGAACAACACACCTCTTATGGAGTCAGCAGGAGCAGTGGCGGCACCCAAGTCACTGGAGGATCGGATCAGCGACCAAGACACCATGATCCGGCAACTTGGGGCCGCCATGAATGAGGTGTCCAACACTCTGCGCCGGTTGGTTACTGGAGAGGTGCCCACGCCTTCTCACACCATCCCATCACCAACGGCCAGTCCTCCTCTCTCAGCACCGGAACCCAGTGGCATACGGCTCTCGCTCCCGAGGGCATATGACGGTTCTGCAGCCGGGTGTCAGGTTCCTCCTGCAGGTGGAACTCTACCTGGCTACTATATACCCAGCGCCCTCGGGATACGAGAGCGTCTCCGCCCTCATCTCCTGTCTATCCGGCAAGGCGTTGGAGTGGGCCAACGCCGAATGGAGGGGAATAGACGCCGCTACCATCACCTACGTGGAGTTCTCCCGCTGCTTCAGGGCTGTCTTCGATCCA